AATCAACTAAATGTCCACCATAACAAATGACTAAAGGTTGAATGTAAAGAAACGAAAGTGAAAAAATAAAGACAGAAATGAAAGAAAAAGAAAAACACAAAAATATAAAAAGAGAACAAAGTCCAAGTTTGACTATTTTGAGTAAATTAATAAGATAGTTACTCTCCAGTGAAATTAAGTAAAAATTAAAAAATACAGAAGGTTCAAATAGATCTTTTATATATGCAAAAGTGGATAAATAGCACGATATAAATATAAACTGGATGTTATCTAGTTTATGCCAATGACTTTGACAATTCAGCTGAATCAAAATATTAAAGTAGAAGACTCTTCTCATAAGAAAATACCACACCCAACCTAGCAACTTTTAAGGAACAAAGCATTCCAATTTGCATAATATTTTTCACAGAACATTCAAAGAGGAATAGCCCAAAGTCATTCTCTCTTCACAGGATGAAGATGGCCTGGTGACACTGGAGGCAGAGGTTGGGGTTATGATGCCACACACCAAGGAACACCCTGGGCTGCCAGAGGCTGAAAGGGACATGAAAGGGTTTTCCACCAGAGCCATCAGAGACACGGTAGTACCCTGGATTCGAACTTTTTGCTTCCAAGACTGTGAGGCAATAAATTGGTTGTTTCAAGCCACTCATTTGTCTTGTGATATTTTGCTACAACAATCCTAGGGAACTGATGCCGTGGTCTTCTGCCTGCTACTTAGCATTCATTATACTGGTTCTTCATATTTCCCACAGTCCAAACATTCAGTTAGTGTGGTAATGGTTGCAGAGATTTTAAGTCAAAGCACTCATGATTTCACTATTCTGTGCTGTAGGTCCCCAAGGCTGTTTCTCCATGTTTTCTCAGTATCCCGGACAACCCTCTGGGGCAGGTGGGTGGGGACAGGAAAGAGCTAACTGGGTAGAAGTTGCCCAGGCCTGACCACCTGGACACAGGCTCATGTTCCATCCATGGTCAGGAATCCACATTTGGGACCACAGTTTCCTATAGTCACAGTAAGGTGCTGCCAACCCCGCACCCAGGACTATATTCTACTATACTATACTATATATTCTACTATATTCTATAACCCAGTCTGCACACATTATAATTAGCCCTCCCAGTGTCTTAGAGTATGAATTTGTTTTTCCAACAGATTTCATATAAATTTTAGGACTTTCTCTCTAAAGTTTCACCACCTGGGTCAGCATTCCCACATGGCAGCAATTGGCTAAAGCTGAGTAGGGGCTCTCTCTATATACTGAGAATTCACTCTGCTCACTATAGGTCCCATTACTACTGATTTAGTTGAACAGGAGGCCAGGTCCAGTCTCATTTGTCTCTTACACTTAGCTCTTTTCACTTATCTAAGCCCCCCGCTTGGCTCCCTTATTCAGGATCCCTGACCTCAGCAGGAACATGACATGTACAAGAAACAGAGAATAAAAGAAGATTGCACTTGAATGTGTGTGTGGTGGGACAGGGGTGTAGGAAGAATAATCACCCCCCCCCCAAAAAAAAGATACCTTAATCCTGAGAACCTATGAATATAGTGTATTACATGGTAAGGGGAATAAGATTCGGAACCATGGGGCTTTAAAATAAGGAAATTATCCTGAATCATAAACTGTTTATTTCTCTGGAGTTGATTCCAATTCATGGCAACCCTACTTATAAAATAGAATTGGGTAATCATGTAATAATAAAGGTCTTTTATGTGGAGCTCTGATGGCTAAGGATAAGCACTGAACTGCTAACCCCAAGGTTAGAAGTTCAAATCCACCAGCCACTCCACAGGAGAAAGAGGAGGCTTTCTAATCTTGAAAAAAATGTACAGCCACTGGAACCTGATTCAGGGTTGCTATGAGTTGGAATAGACTTGATGGCAGTAAATTTGAGTTTTTGAGTTTGCAGGATCCTTTGAAAGTGGACAAGGGAGGCAGAAGAAGTGTCAGAGTAATCTGAGGTGTGAGGTGAGAAAGCTTGAACCGGCCAAGGTGGAAGGGACTCATGAGCCAAGAAATGCAGACAGCATTAAAAAAGATGATAAAAGCAATAAAATGTCTCCCCTAGAGTCTCCAGAAAGGGACAGTGAGGCCCGTTTCAGACTTCTGACCTCCAGAATTCCAAGATAATAAAATTCTGTTGTGTTAAAACACTAAGATGTGGTGGTTTATTACAGCAGCAATAGGAAACGAATACAGTCAGCCACAGGAGATCAAGAGGGTAGCGTGTGCCCAGGAACAAAGCTCAGAAAAACCAATATAAACAGGAAGCACAGGAAGAAAGTGGAGGGAGTGCAGATATACTCTGGGGGACTGCAATCATTGTCACAAAACAAAATAGGCATGAATTGTTGAATGGAAACCCAACTGCTCTGCAAAAGAAAACTTTTTTTTTTTTTAAACATAAACTGAAAATACACCATAGTTTTAGAAGTAAAATGTCAAACCATTAACCTTCTAGAAGATAACCTAAGAGAACATCTTTCTGACCTTGACTGGTGAAGATTTCTTGGCCAGAACACAACTAGCACAAAAGCACAAACCATAAAGTAAAAGAAAAAAATTGCCAGATTGGTAGTCTTCAAAACGATTTGCTTTTTGAAAATCACTGTTAAGCAAAGGCAAAGACAAACCAAAGGCTGAGAGGACAATCTGAGAAAGTATTGCAGCTGCTACATGCCATCGAGTCGAGTCCAACTCATAGTGACCCCGTACAGGGTGTGGTGTCGTAGAACCACAAGGTTGGTGGTTCAAACCCACCAGCTGCTCCTTGGAAACCCTGTATAGGATTACTGTGAGTGGGAATCTTACCAGAAGCAGGAAGCCTCATCTTTCTCCTGTGGAGCAGCTGATAGATTCAAACTGCTGACCTTGCGGTTAGCAGCCCGATGCACTACACCAGGACTCCTTGTATCCCAAATTTATAAAGAACCTTTATAACTCAATGAGAAGACAGAGAACCCAATTGGGCAACAGATTTGAAAAGCTTCCCTAAAGAAGAAGACAGATGAATAGCAAATAAATGCATAAAAAGATGCTCAACACCATTAGCCACAGAGTCGGTTCTGACCCATAGTGACCCTGTATAGGGTTTCCGAGGAGCAGCTGGTGAGCTTGAACCGCCAACCTTGCAGTTCAAATGGCTTTGCAGTCTGGCGCATTAACCCACAGTGCCACACCAGGACTCCGATAGCAAGGAGATAGCCATGAAAATAGACAGCTGAAATGTGGAGGAGATGGAAACTTCCTTAGTTATGGGGGTGAAAACTGAGGGGTAGTTGTTAGGGCAATGTAAATTAAAGCCACAATGAGTTGTCACTATACACCGGTAAAATGGCTAAAAATATTTTTAAACTGACAATACTAAGTACCGGTGAATATGTGGAGCGACTCATACATTATTATACTGGTGGGACTGCAAAACTGCACAACTGTTGGAAAATAGTTCAACAGTTTCTTATTAAGTTACAGATGTTATTAGGTGCCATCAAGTCAGTTCCAACTCATAGTGACCCTACGCACAAAAGAATGAAACACTGCGCCACCCTCACAATTGTTACAGTAGAGCCTATTGCTGGGCCACTGCGTCAATCCATCTCTTCGGGGGTCTTCCTCTTTTTCACTGACTCTCCACTTTAGCAAGCATGATGTCCTTCTCCAGGGACTAGTCCCTCCTGACAACACGTCCAAAGTATGATAGACAAAGTCTCACCATCCTAGCTTTTAAGGAGCATTCTGGCTGCAGTTCTTCTAAGAAAGGTTTGTTTTTCTGGCAGTCCACGGTACTTTTAATATTTTTCTCCAACACCACAATTCAAATGTATTGATTCTTCTATGGTCTTCCTTATTCACTGTCCAACACAGTAATTCCAGTTCAGTTATTTATTCAAAAGAAAAAAAACAAAACACTAATGTCCATACAAAGACTTGTATATGAATGTTCAGTGCAGCTTTATTCCTAATTGTAAGAAAACTACAAACAACACAAATGCCAATCAACTGGTGAGTGGACAACTGGTGAGTGGACAACTGGTGAGTGGACAACTGGTGAGTGGACAACTGGTGAGTGGACAAGTAGTAAGTTTTGGCACATCTCTACAATGGACTACTACTCAGCAATAAAACAAAGAAGTATGGAACATGGAACAACATGGATGATTGCTAATTTTTAAAGTCAGACATAAAAGGTATGAATACTGTATAATTCCATTCACATGGCATTCTGGAAGAATCAAAACTATAAAGGTGGAAACCAGGTCACTGGTTGCCAAGGCTTGGGAGTTGGGTGACAGGTAAATTCAGAAGGGCACAAAGGAACTTTTGGAGTGATGATATGGCTACACTCAATTACCAAAACCCATCAAACTTTATATTTAGAAAGGGTCAAGGATATCATATGTAAACTAAGCATCAATAAACCTGTTTTTTAAAGAATTGGAAATTAATACAAGTGTCTATGGTTGCGGGGGAGGTAGGGTGGTCAAGAAAGACTTCCAGGATGGGAGTTGGGGGAACTTCACTCTCATCAGAGATTTGGCTTCCAGATTGGAGATACCAGGACCAGTCTCTCCCTGCAGGTTTCTTCCCCTCCAGCATCACTTAAGTACCTTCAGGGGCCTGATGATTTACAAAGTCCTGCAACTTTGTTCCCTCAAATGATCAGGTCCCCTGCCAGGCCCACATGTCCCAGGAACTTGGTTTTCAATGTACAAAAGAGGAAACAGGCCTAAAATGGGAAGCATAGCCCAGAAATAGCATTCCACCCCAAGGCAGGAAATTGCCAGATGCCATAACTGAGAACTCACGCTTGTTGTGAGGGTGGCCTGGTCCTTCCACAGACTCCCCACAGCCAAACAAGCCCAGGCAGGCGCCTGTCCACATCTGTGCTAAGAACACAGCCCCAAAATTGCTGCGTGTCATCACAATCGCCACCTTCCACACCCTCCCTGTCCCTCCTCCCTGGAGTCATGACCATAAGCCAAAGCCAGAGCCCACCTGACCACAATCCAGGCCCAGCCAGTCCCTTGGAAGCAGAACCTCTGAGTTCCACTGATGGCTGAGGGCAGTGTCACAATAGGACAGGGGGGTTCTCAGGGTGGGGTGGGAAGGGTGAGGGGCAGCATTCCACTCTGGGGGCACAACTGGCAGCAGCCCCTAGGGACAGAATGAAGTAAGGCTGGAATAATCTCCACACGAGCCTGTCCTGTGAGTCCCATACTTACGGGACTTTTCAGCATCCTTGCAGCTAGAACTGTTGTGAACTGCCTTTCAAGCCTTCCTGGAAGTGGTCTGTCCCTCTGCAAACCAACACTAGACAGAGATGCCTGCATCTGGCTCATCTCCCCCCAAAGTCGGACATTTCTACCAACTTAGAGGTATAGCGCCCCCGTCTGTGGAGTTCACCTTTTGAAAGAATTTGATTCTAAAATGATGGTATTTCAGTAAAAAGCATCAAAATATTCATCATAGGAAAACTCAGATTTTAAACGCGATATGCTTTAAGGAGCCCTGGAGTAGTGGTTAAAGCACTTGACTGCTAACTGAAACGTTGGTGGTTCAAACCAACCTTCTGTTCCATAGGAGAGAGATGAGTCAGTCAGCTTCTGTAAAGACTGACCACCTTGGAAATGCTATGGGGCAGTACTATGCTATCCTACATTAAGTCACAATTGACTTGATGTCAATGAATGTGTAAGCCTATTTTGCAAGGCTTTCGTTTTCACTAATTAGGAGCTCAGCACTTTAATGTGCTTGATGTTTGGACACTTGTTCCAACTTTCAAATGTCTGTGGTCAACTGAGTGGCTGGTCCTAGGTGCCCCAGACTCTTCAGAGCTCCCTGACCTGAAGGAGCAGCACTTCTGGGGCTGGAGAACCCACACAGGCAGGTACAAGGAGTAGCCACTATTAGTGAGGCTAAACGACCAGGGTAGGGAGCGCTCCTTGGCCTTGTTTACATGAGACCCCAGGACTTCGGTTCATTTCTGGGTAAAAGAGAGCCCCAGCGACCAAGGCTGAATTTCCACTCAGCTCAGTAAAATGGAGGCTCAAAGTCTAATTTGAAGAAACACTATTTCTTGCAGAACTGAGTTTACAAAACTAATATTCACACCAACTATAAGTGTTCATTATCTTTGTGAAAAATCACAAGGTTATTTCTGCTTCTTTTGATGGTATTGAAACAAAAGAATAAATATCAGGTTCCTTTTATAGACTTCAGGAGACCCGGTGGCATTGTGGGTTAGTTAGACATGGGGTTGATAACCAGAGTCGGTTGTTTAAGTCCACCTGCTACTCTGTGGGAGTAGCTGTTCCCATCTAAAGATTTAGTCTCAGAAACCCTATATAGGGTTACTAAGAGTAAGAATGGAGTCATTGGCAGTAATTTTGCATTTTGGTTTAGACACATTTGGACTGAATGCTTAAGAATTGATGGTCACAGTTGTGTTAATGTCTGAGGATCAAAAACAAGAAGTTAGACAGTCAAGGTTCAAGTGGGGCTACCAAGTTCACCCTGGAGTGGCAGACCAGCCCTCCGGAGGACCTGTGCATGCTTTGGGCACTGGGGAAGCTGGACTCTTCCTGGCCCTGGCTCACACCCTTGGCCACTCTATAGGCAAGCGGCCTAGGCCAATTGTGGTCAATGTCTTCTGGCTCATCTGGAAACCCTTAAGAGTAGAACTCCCAGAAGGAGCTGTAGTCTCTTATCACCAAAGAAACTACATTCCAAAGCCTTTCCCATACTGGAGAGAAAATCAAAGTCAATTCAGAGGCTTTCCACCTAGCCCCCTGATGGCATATTTTCCTCAGACGGAGGAGAGAAAGGAGGACAGGCCATACATATCCTCAGGAGCTCCAGATTAGGGCTGGGGTGGTTGCAGAGCAGAGGCCCTGCCCTCAGTGGCTTCACTACCATCTACATGCAGGGCAGTCATATCACTGTAGCTGAAGAATGAGAAAGGGTCAAAGCTACAGTGGTGGGGAATTTGGGGAGCTACCGTATAATGACTTCTCCTTTTTCTGAAAGGAAGAAAAGCTATGTGTGGGGAAGTAGGAGATGGATGGCAAGGTTTGTAAAGAATGGAGATTAGAAGTCACTGACACGAGTTGGAAAGCAATCTGAGTAGAAAAAGTTGGTAGGGATGCTGGGCAGTTGAAGATTCTGCTGAAGCGGGTGAGCGTACATTCAGAGGAACTAACCTGCTCAGTGTGTGACTCTGGCAATGGCAGCAGCCTAGGTGAAAGGAGAGAGAAGGCAGATAACAGGGCTTAGTCACAATCTGTGGCTGTGCTAACTAGGTGCAACTCAACGGTGACAGGGTAAAGTCTAAGGAGCTGGCCACAGAGTAATTACAGAGGAAATAATAGGGAGGGAGAAGGGACTGGGGTTTGCACAACACGGGGTCCAATGACACCAAGGACCGGAGTAATGGAGCAAGCTCATCAGAAAAGGCTGCTGTGCTCAGAAAGAGGATGTCTGAATTCATTCATTCACTAATGTGCCAGGTTTCAGAGATTTTGGAGGTGCTGCTGGGTTCTTCTGGGATGATAACAAGAGATGGGGTGCAATCATGTGCTGGGTAGCAAAGTTTTAACTACATGAGGAGGTGTGATCTGCAGTTTGGGAGACTGGAGCAAGGAGGAGAAAGAGTAGTTTTTTACAAGAGGGAAGAGCCACAAGTGGTCCAGAAGCAGCAATAGGGCGGGAAGAGGCCTTATTGCAGCTCCCTGGTAGAGAGAAAATGAGGCACCAGGGGAAGATTTATGAGATGGGTTGTCCTTCCTACTTGGGCTGAAGACTTGGGGGTACGGGGAGGGGATGGACGTCCATTGGATTTGGAGCAGCAGGTTCAAAGGGCTGAGATTAGGAGGTGGGGCTGGTGGGTTTGGGGGTTGGGTCAGTGCACATGGAGGCAGTGAAGACAGTGGTAAGACAGAATAGTTGACTAAGGAGTTTGGAGGGATCTTAGGCTTGAGACATTGAACCAGTGAACACAAAATGCACAGTACAGTGATGGTAATCTTAGAGGCCTCTTTGAGGAAGGCTGGCACAGAGCCTAGACACTAGAGGACTTCCCCAGGGTAGAGCCAAGGGAGATCAGGAAACCAAACTTCATCGCTAGGGTACAGGTCTGCTGCACAATCCATTGTTCTCAGATGTAACTACTTTCCATTTCCATCGTTATCATCAAGTTGTGCTGAGGATATAAAATCAAGATTTGTTATTATATAGTAAACCTGCGAAAGCCATAAATTGTGTAAGGTGGAACCTGTCAGAGAAGGAAAACTCAAATCTTTTCCATGAAAACAAATGATGGAAAAGTGGCAGAAAACTTTCGAGACCCAGAAAAACAAGGCAGCCCCGTCAAGTCTCAGCTCACAGGCTTCGCTGTAATTTCCCTGCTATTATTTTGTTATGCTGGTTTCTCAGTTTTCACTTTTGCCATCTTCTAACACATTTTCTAAATAAAAAGTGATTACAAACCTTACTGGTGTTGCACGGGAGAAAAGTGGCCTCATCTTTAGATAGATAAATATAGAGATTCTTTATTAAATTTTAAACAAGAGAAACAAATCACCCAGGTGAGAGAAATCATCCACAGGCCACCATGATTAGTTTTCCAAAGTTCTACCTCCACAAGGTGACCTTTTATAGGGCCCAGAGAAGAAAGGAATCTCTTCCCACAAACATGACTGATGACAGCAAGGCGTCACATACATATGCGGGCCTGTGGAAGCAGGGGCTGTTACAAACAGGCAAGCTTACGTACTGTGTCTGAGACGCTCAGGGCATGACATCATAACCCAGCGCCCATTAAGGCAGTCATTAAGTGGTATGTCCAAGAAAGATCCTGCAAGGGAATTGCTCTCCTTCCTGTGCTTGATGGTGAAAGTGGCCCAAAATCCACTTTAAAAAATATTCTGTTTCTAACTCTGGCAGTTCAACTGTCAGAGGTGCTAGAAGTACTCAAGAAAAATTGGCATCTGAACACTTAAAACCTAGGCACAAGATGGAATTAAGCTCTGCCTGGCTGGAGTAGTTCATGGGCAAAAAGTCTCTAGATTTCATGTTCTGATAACTCCTCTGCTTAAACAACACAAAAAAATCTGTACTTTTATATTACCTTTGAAAAAAGTTCCAAATTAAAGAGATGACTTTAGAAGTCCCACTAGTGGCTGTTTTGTCTTTTTTTCCCAAACATTTGCCCATCTCTCTAAACCTGAGAATCGCGAATAATAATCAGGCGTTTGAAAGAGCTGGACACAGCCATGCTGGATTTACAAAGACAGCAAAACACGTCTGCAACATTCAATCCTTAGAGGTTATATAAGAAAAGGTGAACGCAATGAAGGGAGGTAAGGGAGGTTCTAGACTCTTTTCCTAGAGTGTGGGAGTACCTGTGAGAAGGGGAGACTACAACCTGCTCCCTGGTACAAGGTTGGCTAGAGATGCCTTTGAGGGCAGGGCCAAGAAAGGGAGTCGTGACGGGTAAGCTCTTTCCCCACCATTTGGTGGGGTAAAGTTGCATAGTGTTCTTCTAAGTAACTTGATGGGACCTTATCCCATAGTGCTGTCTTCAAAGGTAAGGGAATGCCAGCAGTAAGAAAGACTGTGGGGAGCAGTGTGTGTGTGTGGGGCAGAAGTTGAAGATGAGGGGTCTCAAGAGTTCAGTTGTGAGCATACTGCTTACATTAAAGACCAATGCAGAGGCCCTAAGAGGATCTCTGAAAATTCACAAATATATCCTCATGGAAGAGGCAGCTTTTAGACGTCTGTTATATCGGACTGACTGATAATCCGTTAGTACAAGCGTGAAATTAAGTAAAGGCTTCTCTCTTCCCTTGCCCTATGTGGGCCCTGGGGGATCCAGAACATCAGAACTTGAGAGGGAAGAATGAGCAAGGAGCAGAACAAATCTCTTCTCCCTCCTTCCCCACTGCTGGTTCCTGGGCAATACAGAGGTTAGGCATGAGCTGAGTGTGGGCCAATGGAATGCACGGCTGAAGCTTTGATTTGGAGTAGACACAGTGTCTTCTCTCAGTGGTACCAAATGTCCTTTGGGGCCCCATCTTAGCCTTAGGTCCAGGCACTAGAAGGAACCACAATCTTCTCTCTTCATCCATAGCCTTTTCATCCACCTGCTTGGCTAGAATCCACAACTTCAAATGTATCCTCCTGTTTCCACATACGTGGAAAAGTATTCTGTTCTGGGTTTGGGGTAGGAGGGCTCCAGATCGAAAGGACTGACTATCAGTGAACAGGTTACGCTAAAACACAACCCAGACTCAACCCAAGAGTATTGGGGATGGAATACCTGATAGGGGCCCTGGAGATGAGAAAGGTGAAGACAGGAAGGGGTCCTGCCCCATAGGATTCTGGAATTTGGCTCAGCACTAGGGGTGGGGTTCATGGTGTCCTGCCTCCATGCACCTAGTTCTTACCCAGAAGAATGTTTGAGCAGGTCCTCTGCTGCTGCTGGTCTGGCTTTTCAGCCACAATCAGAAGTAAGTGCTGTTTACATAGGCCACCCCTGAGTTGGAAACTCTTTCCACAGCTTCTATTTCTTTTTCTGTGGGCATTGACTTCGGGGACCTGGAGGGAATAGAAACTTGTCACTGGTTGTTCAGGAGTTGGACCTGTGGCAGTGTCTCTCATCAGCTCCCTTCCATTATAAGAAATAATCTGACTCAAAGCCAGTCAGATGACCGTGGTTCTAGAGGGCTCCATACTTGGTAATGATGCTGTAACAGTGAGGTAGCGGCATGGGACTCTTGGAGAGGAGCCACTGATGCGAGGCCCTGTTCCCGATCTTCAGGGAAAGGAAGCATCTCACCGTGGATGGGAGCCCTGCTCCATGTCCTCAATGGTGTCCCTCAGGGCCTGGCCATGTGTTTCTGGTAGCAGGATACAGAGAAAGCCTGCTACAATGGGGAAACTGCCATAGATGAGCATAGGGAGGGCCGCGTGGTACTCGTCCAGCAGAATCACAAGTGGTGTGAGGATGCCCCCGGTCCTTGAGAAGATGGCCACCAGCCCCATGCCTGTCTGCCTGGGGGGAAGACCAGCCTGGGCTCAGCACACCTGGCCTGAATTCCTGGTCACAGCTCTGCCTCAGCGCTCTTCTTTTGGGATAGCTTAGACTCTACTATGGCCCTCGAAGACCTGCGGGTTCTTCAGACTCATCCAGTTCTCACCTCAGTCTTCCTGTTGTCTTCTCTTTACCTTGAACTATTTGCCTGATTGTGTGCCATGTTTATCCAACCTCCAAGTCTCCATCTACTTGTCTCCCACAAACCTGTCAAGTCTCAGGTCAAAGGCCACACTTCCTGACACTCCTTCCCCACTGAGTGTTCCTTCTCCTCAGCCACTCATACCCTACATTCCAGTCCTGACCTGGGAGAGCATGACCTACTTCCTCATCTGTCCTCAACCTGCCTGGGGACAACTTGAAGGCTTGGTGGATTTCTAATTGTCCTGGACCCCACCTAGAACTGCTGCCCCAGAGCCAGTCCACTAAGTATTTGAGGAATGGTGGTGAGCGCAGGAGGAGGGATGGCCAAAATCAGGAACAGTACAACACTCACACCAGCAGCTCTTACCGTATGATGGTAGGAAAGAGCTCAGCAGAATACACATAGGAGATGGTAAACCCAGCAGCCGTGGCAAACTTCCCCACAACAGCCAGCACAGTGACCACCATGGGCAGATCTGGGGGAAGACACTGGTCAGCCACATGGGAAACAACCCCATCACCTGTCCACTCAAACTCCTCAACTCTTCTGCACTCAAACCCTGGGGAAATCTTCACTGTTGAATGGGAAACAATGTCCAACTATTTAACCCCTGATGGGAGGTGGGTGGGGGTAGATGGGGATGGGTGCCAGCCAGTCTTGGTACCTGCTGGGATGAAGACGATGACGATACATATGAGGCCACCCAGAATTAAGGTTCCGAGCTGGCTCCACTTGCAGCCCAACTTCTGCATCATGAAGATGCTGGAATAACGGGCCGGTACCTCAACTGCTCCAAAGATTAGCTGGGTCAGGTAGATGTCCAGGCCGAAGTCCCCTACTTGGAAACTCAAACCAAAGTACACGAGAGAGTCCACAAACCTGCAAATTGTCCAAGAGGCCACGTCACTTCTGGGTGATGGCCCTTGGCCAGAAGTCACAACTGGAGACCACAACACAGCCAAGGAGAGATAGTCATTCCCAGACACGCCATCACACCCTGAGAGCCACCCTACCACGGACAGAATCCAGGGTGGGCAGCTCCTTGACTCTGTCCTCAGGGAGGGCCCTGGTATACTCACCACACGTAAAGGAGAACCAGGGTGACCTTCCGGAGCTGGGGATGTCGGAACAGATCCAGGGCATTCCCTGAGGGGCCTGTACTCTCTGGAACCAGCTGGAGGAAGATGCAGAGTGAGGGTCTAGCCAGAGAGGCCTGTATGGGTCTGATTCTCAGGCGGAGCTGGGCCCTGGTCTGCTGCTGGTGGTACCTGGCTCAGGAACTCTGGAGAGAGTTTCCGCTTGTTGACTGAGGCTGCTTTCTGGATTACTTGTTTTGCCTCCTCGATCTTCCCCTGGATCAGAAGCCACCTTGCTGATTCTGGTAGAGCCCTGGAGGCCATGAGTGCTGTGACCATGGGATCCTGTAGGCCTGTGAAGCCTCAGCCCCATCTTCAAGGAGCCGTCTGGGCTGTTCAAGGTCCACTGAATCCTACACTCCAGATCTTACAGGCTCCCCTTCCGGGCCCCTCCATTTCCTGTGAGGCGAGTCTGGGTGCTGCATTCTAACCCCACCACAGCACAGTTAGCCTAGGGGTGGCTGGCTCCTAAGAAGCATCTCCTCACCAGATGTAGAAGAAGAGCAGCAAGACAGGTGCAGTGCCAGCAATCTGGAAGAGCCGCCAGTTGCGGATGCCATAGGCGAGTCCAGCTAGTACCATCTGCCCGACGGAGAAGGCACACTGGGCCAAGACCACAGCCTGGGTTCTCCATGAGGGCCCTACCCACTCCGTAACTAGGGGAAGAGAAAGCCTGAGAGATGGCGCGGCCCTGCCCACCCCTGGCATGCAGAGGCAGTGTGGGTTTTTAGAAGTCTGCCATAATGGATGTGGCTCAGATACTCACGTAGAGTGACATTGCTGAAGGAAAACCCAGCAACAGCAGTGGCCACAGCAAAGCGCAGGGCTGTGTACAGCTCAAAACTCGGCACAAAGGCTGTGGACAGGCCAACGATGGCGAAGAGTAGCAGCTGCACCAAGATAGTAATTTTGCGGCCAATCCTGAGGTAGTAAAGCGGTAGGTCTGTGGGGGTAGGGTCCCTCCTAGTTTATCTGAGGGAGAAGCAAGGCAGATCCAGTTCTGCCCTGGGATCACTATCCAAGGGAGCCCAATTTGAGGGTGAGGAGAATAAAACCTTGTCCTTGAGTGTGAAGGACACAGGGGAAAATGTGGACCTGGCCCAGGAGCCTGCTGGTCAGGGGAGAGCTGATCAGGGATCTTACCAGTCACAGAGGGGTCCAAAGATGACAGAGCCAAGGAGGAGCCCAGCCATGAATACTGACTGTGAGGTCTCCTTCAGGTGTTTCCGATCACAAACCAGGTCAAACTGAGGGAGACACAAGCAGATGGAAGTCTAGGGCAATGCTGAGGCCGAGTCCTTATTACCCTGCTCTCTGCAAACGTCTCCCAGGGGAGATGCCTGCAGTTTCCAGACTGTGTGCCCAGGCACCCCAGGAAACCACAGTGAACTCAGGGGCACAGCAGGACATTTTAAAGGGACAGTTCTGGTGTGGGGCTGTGGGTTAAAGCGCTGGACTGCAAAAACAGTTTAAACCGTAAGTTCAATGGTTCAAGCTCACCAGCCCCTCCTAGGAAACCTAATACTGGGTTGCTGTGGGTGGGAACTGACTTGACAGCACTTAACAACATAGTAACATTTGGCATATGTCCAATATCATGCAAGTTACTAGCTCATGATGGGAGTGCAGTAGCCACCAGCCGTTCTGAGGGAGAAAGCTGAGGCTTTCTGCTGCCGCAAAGATGTAGAGCGTTGGAAACCCTATACAGGGTCATTGTGAGTTGGAACTGATTCCACAACACATCACCACCAGTACAAACAATAACAAAAACTAGCTCATGATAGTTCACAGTTCCAACATCGTCACACTACCGCTCTCTCAATGACATATCCATGTGAAGCTGTTATTGGCAGTTGCTGTGATAAACAGCAAGTACTGTGTGAAAATCAATGTGAAGCAGAAAGTAAGGGTGGTGGTCTCTGATGCTCAAGTTGGATTATGTTCTCTACGGAATCCTGACCCTTGGTACCTGTGACTGCAGCCTATGGGAAACAGGGTATTTGGAGATACAATCATTTAAGATGGCCCCTAACCCAATCTGACAATTAAGATGAGGTCATTAGGATGGACCCTAATCCAATATACTGATGTTCTTACAAGAGACACAGATACACAGGGAGAACACCATGCATCAACAGCAGAGATTGGAGTCATGGGCTATAAATCAAGGAATTCATTCCAAGAGTTGCTTTGGCAATACCAGAAACTAAGAGAAAGGTTTGGAAGAGATTCTCCCCTTGAGCTTTCAGAAGGAGTAGGGCCTTGATGATATCTAGATTTTGAACTTCTAACTTCTAAAACTGAGAAAACTTTTAAGTCATCCAATTTGTGGTAATTTGTTACAGCAGCACTAGGAAATATTACAACTAAGTAATTGTGTTTATTTAGAATGAAAGCATGAATTTTTTCTTTGGATTTATATGTATATATTTGTTTTCAAACAGCTAAGTTGTTAGGACATAAATCTTTGTTGTTTGAATCTAGTAAGCTAATAAAAAGTAATACTAGATATTTCTTTTTGCCTGAAGATACCATGTAAAAAAGTACTGACACTTTCAAGAATGCAAAGTTTGGGAAAGACCACTAATTGATACTTCCTGACAAATGGGACCTCTTCCCCACAGCCAGGGTACCCCTGTGACCCACGTGGGTTTCTTCGTGTTTTCCCTATGGACCCTGTAAAGGGTTTCCGAGGAGTGACTGGTGCCAATCCTTTGGCTAGCAGTCCAGTGCTTATTGTACAGCTCCAAACTTTTGTACAACGTTAAGAGTCTCATGCTCTACTGACTAAGCTAGTTGGGCAGTTGACTTATATCCTGTTAAAACAGAGACAGGAAAGGTGAGGCAACTAATCCCCGGTCACACCGCTGCTTGGCAGTGGAGTTGAGCCCTAGACAGGGGCTGAAACTTTCAACTAGCCAGACACCATCTGTTAAATAATCTTTGTTGTTGTTGTTGTTATGTGCCGTGGAGTTGGTTCCGACCCATAGCGACCCTGTACAGGGTTTCCAAGGCTGTAAATCTTTACGGGAGCAGAAAGCCTCATTTTTCTCCCGCAGAGCGACTGGTTAGCAGGATATTAAATCAATCCAGGAGTTACCATTGTGTTTACACTTCTGTTCTTCAAGGAAAACTGTTAATTTTTAAGAACTTCCATATGTGTCAAATGATTAACTATAAATTGCTTTTGGGCAATGAAGCAGGCCAGGACAGAGGACTTGAACTTGTTCCACCTAGTTCTGTTCTGTTTGGTTTGTCCAACAAGCATTGATTGCCTTTGTAGTAAGATGCCAATTAGAATTAAGACTTTCTGCTGCCAGGCTCTGGAGTCAGGACTGAGTGACCTTTGGTCTATTAGCCAATCTGACTGTCTTAGTTTTCTTTTATAATAAAAGGCATAAAACTGCTCTGAAAGGAATCACATTAGAAGTTTGTGGGTAGAATACAAAGAAAGTGTGGAACAAAACTCAAAAATCATAAAAACGACCAGGCTTACTGGTCAGGTAGAGACTGTTGGAACCCCCAAGACTACGGCCTTTAGTCACCCTTCAGGTCTGGAACTGGACTTACCCCCTAAGACTCCTTTTTCAGCGAAATAATACTTAGGTCTAGAAGGGGGAAAATAACATTAGTGAGGTACTCATGCCTTAGAGTAATCATCCATTTGATATGAAAAGGGCAGAATTTACCTAAGTACAAAGTTCTGAAGGGTTAGGAAAGGAGGAAGAATGGACACAGGAAAACACAGGAGGAAGTGGGTTAAGTGTTAGACTGAGGGGACTGCAATAATGAGATGAAACAAAATGTATATGAATTGTGGAATGGAAAACTAATGATCTGCTCTGTAAACCTTCACCCAATTCACACTAAAAAGTTAAAAAAGAAAAATCCTGAGCCCCATCCAGAACCTTCTGAAGTGGGACATTCCTACTTGAAAGGGCAGGCAGACCAGCCTGGAACAGCTAGAGGAACAGAAGCTACTTCTTGAAAGAAAGACCAGCAGGAAAAATCCACCACCACCCTCCCTCCAAAAATGGCAGGCTCATTGGCTACTGCAAGAACAAGCAAGTTAGTTGTTTGCTGGGGAGCCATAAGGCAAGCAATCATGTGTCTTCAAGACAACTCCCCCCCTCCAAGATTGAAACTCAAAGGGAACACGTGAGCAGGCATGTAACCTTGCTAGCGACCATGTCGATCACCTGGGTCAGTGGAAGAGGGGAAAAGGTAGCAATGAAGACAAGTGTTGAATTTGAACACACTCCATAGACTCCTGTTGACCTGGAGATGAGAGAGAGAGAAGAGGAAGGAAGGGCTGGTTGGTCTGAGGTGTAGTGAAACCTGGGGACTCCTGAGCCCATGGACAAGGACATAGCCACAAAGGACTATAACTGAGAGCAAAGAGGCCCACCCCCTCAACTTTTTTTAAATAAAGGAAACAAGTGTAAATTACTACAATTTGATGAGCTTGATCTCTACTTATGGATGTAGTAGCTCAAAAAACCAACTGAGAGGGAAGGAGTCTTCACTTCAAGGATCAATCCTATACCCTCGTATACAGGATAATGGGATGGGCAACTTAGACATTGGCTACCTAAAATGGGAGGTATGCTTTAAAGGCATGAAGAGACTGGCTTACAAGTTTTCAAGAGGTAGTTTAGTTTCAGAGTGTGAAGGGGAAGATAGAATCCCCACTGAATACTATTCATCTTGTCTAGGTGGGTCTGGCGAAAAGAGATGGGGGTAAAATTCTTATGATCCAAAATGGAGTAATTGTTATCATGACTAATTGCGACTGTCACAACTGTAAAGGTAGACGTTTTGTAACAAAAACATGGGAGTAGTTAATATTAGAGTCCAGGAACAGAGGACCCTATGACCATCAAGGGAGATGAGCACAAGAGGAATATGGGACCTTATCCAGAGAAGCAATGACACCAGAGATGGAGGCAGAGATGAGGACATGGAGAAATCGAGCAGCTGAGGACTCTAGACTCATGGAAAGAGTAAGGCTGTGTCCTGGTGTCCAGGTGCTGGTGGCTAGGATGCAGGCTCATAGACTGTGCCCTTTGGTTGTTTAAATGATTATATATATTGTATTTCTGAGTGCTTTTGTGTACATTCCTCCCCACCCTCAAAAAAAAAAAAAAAAGAAAAAATTAACAGAGGCAAATACCAATGAATGATGCTGCACGGAGGAGATTGTAATCATTGCAATGAAATGATGAATGCAAAATTGATGTTCCCTCGTGTACACTATCACTCAATTCCCAATAAAAATGAAAAAACCCAAAACCAAAATGAGGATAAAATAGAATGTATAGTATCACTTGACACATTTAGCATTCGAGCTCTGGTGACTCAGTGGCTGTTTGAACTCACCAACCACTCCATGAGAGAAAGATGTGGCAGTCTGCTTCCATAGATTATAGTCTAGCATAGGGCGGCATGCATGGGCAAAAGAGGATAGAGGTAATTAGAGTAACATACACAACCAAGGAGCTCTGGTAGTGTAGTGGTTACTAATCGGGCTGTGAACTGCAGGGTCAGCAGTTCGAAACTACGAGCTGTTCTGCGGGAGAAACATGAGGCGTTCTGCTCCTATAAAGATTTACAGCCTCGGAAACCCTGTACAGGGTGGCTATGAGTCGGAACCGACTCCACAGCACACAGCTAGCACAATACACAACCTTGGAACAACATTGTTCTGCAGGTAGATACAAAGTCAGATACACAGGCAGAATGGGCACGAGAGGAAGAGTGGGAATATTTCCACACATATATACGTGGTTTGAAAGAGGATACATTGGTGTTTACCTTTGCTGTGAAAACAACTATGAATGTAAAAAAGTGCTCAAAATGATCAAAATTTCATTTCAAAGTTAGATAATATCAAACTTCTTAAGACAATGAATTGCTGGGCCTAGAGGCTCAGGACTATAGACTCAGGGGACACCATGAACAATTGGCGTTAACAGTCCACAAAGACAATGTTCTACATCCTACTTTGGTGAGTAGCATCTGGGGTCTTAAAGGCTTATGAGTGGTCATCTAAGGTACAACTACTGGTCTCTCCATGTGTGCAAGAAAGAAGAGTGAAGAGAATTGAAGAGGCTTGGGATCAATTAGTTCAATGGACTAATGGAACATGTGAACATCAGCCTCCACCACTCTGAGACCAGAAGAACTAGATGGTATCCACCTACCACTACCAACTGCTCTGAATGGGATCACATTAGAAGGTCCTTCAGAGAGTACGACAAAGTGTGGAACAAAAATCAAAATGATAAAAAAGAGACCAGGCTTACTGGTCACAAAGAGACTGGAAGAACCCAGGACTATGGCCCATAACTACTCTTCAGGTCTGGAAAGGAACTCACCTTGTGGTCCATTTTCAACTAAGCAGTACACAGGTATATAGGGGGCTAGGACATAAATACTCTAGCAAGGTATGCTCACCATCGAATGGTCAATCATTCAAAATCAAAAGGGCAATACCTACCTACGGACAAAGTTGAGAAGGGATGGGAAGGAAATAAGAACCGCAGGGAGGAAGTGGGGTATTTGTTACTGCATGAAGGGGATTACTACCATTGAGATGAAACAAAGCGTATGATTGGTTGAATGTAAAACTGATGATCTTGTCTGTAAACCTTCACTCAATTCACAATAAGAAGTAAACAAATAGAAGAGCATAGTCTAGGAAACCCTATGGAGTGGTTATACTCTGTCCACCTGGCTTGAATTGGAATCCACTCAATGGGGGTGGATATCATGCTTAGCACTGTGACTGCTATACAGGAAGCACTTGGTGATGGTGAGGTGAGGGTACGTTGGTCCCTGTGCTCATGAAGGTCACTGGCATGTGCGTCAAGTCATGGGAGTATTCCAAGGCTGGAATTCCGGGTCAGTAACCACCATCACTGTGAGCTCTGGTAGCGTAGTGGTTACGAATCGGGCTGCTAACCTTAAGGTCAGCGGTTCGAAACTACCAGCTGCTCCACGGGAGAAACATGAGGCTTTCTACTCCCGTAAAGATTTACACCCTCGGAAACCCTGTACAGGGTCGCTATGGGTCGGAACCGACTCGATGGCACTTAACAACAACAACAAACCACCATCACTACTACCTCCCTACCCTTATCCTTATTAAATCCTTAGTCTAACCTCATGAAGGCTCATCAATCCCATGTACCTTAGAGAGGTGCCAAACTTTTTCAAGCTCATGCAGTCGTGTCAGGTTGCAGAGAGCACAGAGATGAAGAGTTTTCAACTTGAGATACTAGTCATCAACATTGCTGGGCTTAGTACTCACAGTAGATGGCTCTGTCTGGGACCTGCTACTGTGAGCTTGAGGACTCTTGCTCCCCAAATCTTGTTCATTCCTTGGAGCAGACCCCAGCACATCTCTCTCCCCTATTCCAAAACATTCAATGCCTCCCACTGTCTCTAGGAAAAAGCCCCAATTCAATACTGTATCTTAGAACCTTTAACAGCAGGCTCCTACCCTTTTTTTAACATTGTCTTTTTGTTGGTGGTGCTGTAGGTTAGGCTGCTATCCTAAAGGTCAGTAGTTCAAAGCCATTAGCCTCTCCGTGAGAGAAAGATGAGGCTGTCTGCTCTCATAAAGACTGGCAGTCTTGAAAACCCTAGGTTGGGATGCTATGAGTTGAAACGGACTCAGTGACAGTGGGCTTGTTTTTTCTTTATGTCATGTCAGTATTCCTCAAATACGTCAGAATTAAAAAAAAAAAACACACACAAACGTCTTTTAGTTCTAAAAATGGCTGTTTTTCTCTTTTCCCTTCCGTCCCCCTTCCTTTGGTCCCAGTACAGATCATACTGTTATTGCTATTTATTGATGGTCTATTTCCTTCTCTTTACAGATGTCCTTGTTTTTGTTTTACCAAACATGTTGTCAGGTGCCATTGAATTGGCTGACTCATAATGACCTTATGTACAATAGAACAAAATACTGTCCAGTCCTGCGTCATCCTCACAACCACGACTATGTTCGAGCCCATTGTTGTAGCCACTGTGACAATCCATTTTATTAACGGTCTTCCTCTTTTTTTAGTAACCCATTCCATCAAGGATGATGTCCTTCTCCAGGAACATGGTCAGCCAGGAAATGTCAGATGGTTAGGTGAGTGATTGGGAAGGAGACATGCTCCTTTCTTCTCAAATTAGGCTTACTTGTATTTCAGTCTGAATATAAGGTTTCGGGTTAGAATAAGGCAACCTGAATGTCAACTCTGAAAGGGTCCTATGAGTTAGTATGGCAACCCCTCTTTTCACAGACAAGAAGCAAAGGTTGAAAATCTCCTAGTAAATTAGCTCCACCTAGAACGAAGCTTGAGGTTCTGGTGTGGCACTATAGGATGAGCATTGGATTGATAACCATAAGGTTGGCAGTTCAAATCCACCAGTTGCTTCCTGGAAATCCTATACAGGGTCACTGTGAGTTGGAACCAACTTGACAGCACTTAACAACAGGACCAAGCTTGGAGTTATATGGTACATGGCACAAAGTGCCAAACATATATACACTCATGGGAAGGTCACAGTCTTTCGGGGGGTAAGGAATGGGGGAAATTTTCAGGGCAGGGCATGAGGCCTATGGCTCCACCATAATGCCACAGTGTAGGTTGGAGTGATGATAATGAGAGGCTTAAATCCATGAGAACACCCATCAAACATGTACAAACCTACCCACCCTTCCACATCAGGTACACCAAGTTGCCTAACCTACTGCTTTCCTAGTCTCCAGACAGAAGACTTGCTTCTTGATTTCAGACAGGCCTTTCTCTGTCTGCAAAGACCCTCCCTTCTTTTCTAGCAACAGCTCTCATGTCATCTCCTTCATGAAGTTAACTGCCTACTCCCTCCTAAGAAGGAAGTAAGGTCAGCCCTTCATCCCTCTACAAGGACCTCAAATCCTCCCCTGACCTCCAGGAGTCTTTGGAGCATATGAATGAGACACCTGCCTCCTCTGACTGTTCCTTACACACAGTTAACGCTCAGACGGCTTAGACTAGATAGAATTACACGAGCAGTCCAGCGCAGGGTGTGAACAAGGGCTAGAGTGGACTCTGAGCGCTCTAGAAGGTTTCCTAGGATTTCCAGATGATAACACTTGGCCAAGAGGGCAGGAAAGTTTATGAGATGTGTAGAGGTGAGCAGATCCATAGCATCTGAGGGCCAGCAAAGGCTAGCATCTACTATGGAGGTGATAATAGGCATGATGAAAATGTCAATGAGGGCCAGAAGAAACTAGACTGGGCCAGCTAGATCCAGAGGCTAGGAGATTTCATAGGCCAGTCAACTCCCCTTGTGGAGCAGGGTTACAGAGAGTCAGGAGGAGGGTGGCAGGACATTTCCTCAGGCTGCCAGAGCTCAAGGGGCAGATGGATGGGCACATATTAAAAAGTGAATGTTTAATCTCTGGACTACATTTTCCCACCCAACAAAGGCTCAGCATTTGTCACCATTAAGGAGGTGAGAGTTACACAGTTCACCCAGATGATCTCTATCCCTTGATCTTCTGAACTATCTATGTTAGCACCTTCTCTGGTAGGGAAGTGTACAGAAGGAGGGCTGCACGCGAGTCTAGTTCCACTACCAACTCACTATGCTGCCTCAATCCTGCGTTCGGGAAGCAACAGAGTAGGACTAGATGCTTTTAGAGGGTCCCCCTTCTTCTGAGGTAGTGTAGTGGTTACGAATCAGGCTGCGAACCTTAAGGTCAGTGGTTCGAAACTACCAGCCACTCCGCGGGAGAAAGATGAGGCTTTCGAATCCCGTAAAGATTTATACCCTCGGAAACCCTGTACAGGGTCGCTATGGGTTGGAACCAACTCAATGGCACTTAACAACAACAACAACAATTTCTTCTGAGGTGGCTGGAAATCGGTACTTTTCTGTTTATCTGCCTGGGTCTCCCCCAAGAGAATGAACTTAGCAAAAGTGAATACTCAAGTTATCCACAGGACATTCCTAGAGTTGTGTGTGTCCACTAGGCAGGCAGGCAGAAGCCTACAAAACTGAAAGGCAAGAAATCCAGGGCAAGTAAGCAGGAAGGTAGACAGGAGCTGGAGAAAGGAAAGTGATCTCATTAAAAGAGTCAGTAAAACAGAAAGATTAGCAACCAGGCAGACATGTCGGGGCATACTGAAAGACACAGGCAAATGGACAGATAGATAGAATGTAGGATTAAAAAAAAAAAAGGCATAATGACAGAAAAGCAGAAGAGGACAGGAAGAAACCCAGGCAATTGGGCAGAGGGATAAGCAGGGAGAGGAAAAGACAAAAGGACAGGCAAGAGGGTTGATAGGCAAAGGACATATATTTAAAAACAAGCAAAACACAAAGAAGAAAAACAGGCACACCTGTGGGCAGTCATACAGAGAGCAGATATGCAGAGAGTAGTGAGCAAAGATACAGAGCCAGGCAGAGGAACTGATAGAACGGAGACAGACAGGCAGGCGAACGGGCAGCCCTACCTCGTTCTTTAGGGACAGGGGTTTGTCTTCAGGATACTCCCAGCCATTCTCACAAGGCTGTGTCTCATTGAGGTGGTGGCCAAGGATGTCCTCCAGGCTGGCGTTGTCAGGGGGTGGCCGGAACATGAGGCAGTTTTCTGGATTCCCAGCAGCATCCAGAGGCACGCTCAGGTTCAGCTGCTCAGTAGCACTTAGGTTGAAAGTGTGATTCTTGACCCAGGCCACTGAACAGTGGTGGGCTTCATCTAGAACCATGAAAACCTGGGCAAACATGTAGAAAGCAGACAGGAAGTTGGGGATAATCAGCAGTACCATGAGCTGTATCTGGAAGCGACCAAAGTCGCCTATCTCAGCGAACACCTGGGCGAATTGAGTCATGTCTGCCGGCTGCTACCCCCTCAGCCTGGGGCCACCAGACTCTGTAGCTTGGCTCTAGGGCACTTGTTCCTCTGGGCAGTTATGACAGCTACATTAATGTTTAATCCAGCCCAACCGTGCTCCACCAGTCACCAATCAGCTATGACCTGGGAAGGGCAGACTATGATGAAAAAATAATATACTCTTTGTAGAATCCAAGGATGTTTTATTGACTGAGGCAGACGTAGGTATCACAAGAAGACCAAGAGAACCTTCTCAGATGCATCACAAAAATGCGATTTTGGTCAAACCTTATAACTTACAGCAACATCAATTGCAACATCCTTCACAATTCATAGGCAAAACACATCCTATTACAATAAAACTCCAAATCAGAGAGTAGTTCCAATAGAGGGACACAGAAGTCCACCCTAGGCAGTGAGGAATATCAGGAGAACAGCAATGTCCAGTCCAGTCTGGTCTCTCGACCTTGATCTCTTAGTATCCCCTCTCGTGCCCTTGTATGTAGTGGTATGCAACACTTCCAGGAGGCCACATGCAGCCCAGAACCACCACCAAAGACCTTCCTTTTCAGCACCAAATATAATCCAAGAATGCAGAGCAATTAGTTGAGACAAGAATTGCATTTTGAGCTCTACCCTATCAAGGAAGAAATCAGTAATACATTTCCAAGATAAAATCAAATGTAAGCTGCACCAGAGTAATCTCAGTGATAATAACAGAGGGACACAGGACAAAGTCTCCCTCTAGTATGGCGTCTATGAAAACCCTGCTAATGGTTACTCAGAATCTTGTGAAGTCAAGGTCAGGATTCTTACAGGACTGGTGACAACCAGAAACACAGGACCTTAAAGAAGAGGTTACTTCTGACCCATAGTGACTCTGTATAGGGTTTCTAAGGAGTGGCTGGTAAACTTGAACCACCAACCTTGTGGCTCAAACAGGCTTTGCAGTCCAGCGCATTAACCCATAGCACCACATCATAGGATTCAAAAAACAGGAAAATACAGGATGGCGAGATCCCAACAGAGTTAGATTTGAATAAAGACCTTCCTAGGTTAATCTTTAGGTGATACTGGGATCTCAAATCCTGGCACTGAAGAGAGGAATGCTACTGACTTCATTTCACCTTCTGTTGCTGTGTGCAGAGCCGATTCCAACTCACAGGGACCCTATAGGACTGAGACATGCCCATAATATTTCTTAGGCTGCTGTAATCTTTAAGGAAAAGCCCTTGTGGCACAGTGGCTAAGCACTTGGATTTGAAAAGAAAGGTTAGTGGTTTGAACCCACCAGCCACTCTGATGTGGCAGTCTGTTTCCATAAAGATTGATAGGCTTGAAAACCCAACAGGGCAATTCTACTCTACAGGGTTGCTATGAGTAGGAAACGACTTGACAGAATGGTTTTTCGGTTCTCAAATATTTACAGATGTCCAGTTCTTTTCTCCAATAAAAACTCAGGTGAGTTTGAACGGCCAAAATTTGAACTAGCAGCCGAGCCGCCAGATTTTCTCATTTTAATCCTACAATCCCCAAACCCTACCTTTTCAGTTTTATAGATTTAATTGCATTCCCCCAAGTTATGATGAAGTCCTAAGCCCTGAGCTTGTCAATTTGACCTTGTTTGTGATCACAGGTTTTCTTATATTATGAGGTCAGAGCAAAATAGGGTGGGCCCTAAACCTAATCTCTTCTGAGTGGTATCATTTTAAAAAGCAGAATATACTCAAGGCCTACAAACCTATGAACACCAAGGGCTGCCAACTACTCCAAATTGTATGAGAGAAAGGCCTGCCAGCGGAGCCTCCAGAACTGAGAAAACAAGCGTCTGTTCCTCAAAGTCCCCTGTTTTGTGGTATTTTGGTTGTGGCAGTCTTAGTGACTAAGACATTAGGTTTATTTTTTTCTTTTTCACCCTGTTTGTGACAAGTTTGTTGAAGGCTCTTCATGCTTTCAGGCCCACCAGCCTGTGGACCCGCAGGGCTTCCTCTAGCCCTTCTGAGAGCCAACAAGCACCAACACTTTCCTTATAAGAAGTGTTCAGGAAAATCATTGGCAATCACTATCTAGAAGGTAGGTGGGCTTGGATGTGCGCTGGGGGAGGGAGCAAGTATTTAAAGGGTGGTTGTTGTTTATAGCTACTCAGCTCCGATTCAGAAGGAAATATTGCCTGGTCTTGTGCTAACTTCATATGTGCTGACACCTTTGAGTTCAGATAAATGGTACTCTCTTCTGATCCACAATGGTTTAATGGTTTAACCCGCTGATTTTTAGAAGCAGATCACCAATTCTTTCTTTCCTAGTCCGGGAGTTCTGCTGAAATTTACCTACCTCCAAAGGTGACGCTGCTGCTTTCTGGTACTATAGGCGGCTTCCAGGGTCATTGCAACATGTGGGCCACCACGGTATGACAAAATACAGATGGGGGGTGGATAGATAAAGTATTCCTGGTGTGGCACTTTAGGATAATACTGAACCACAAGGTTGGTTTGAACCTCAAGACTGGCAGTTCAAACTCACCAGCCACTCCCCGATACAGGATTGCTGAGTTGGAACCAACTCAACAACATTTAAGAACAATTCCTCAAACAAACAAGAGTTGTTAAGTGCCATCAAGTCAGTTTCGACTCACAGTGACCCTATATAGGGTTTCTAAGAATTGGCTGGTGAGTTTGAATCACCAACCTTATGGTTAGCAGTCCAGTGCTTATCCTAAAGTGTCACACCAGGACTCCAAACAAACAAGAGTAGGGAAGGACTATAAATGGTTATCTTAATTCTGATTCTGAGAATGGATGATTCTAGTAAATATATATCTGGGAGAGATGATCTGACCCCAAAGCCAAATCCCTCATCTATTATATTGAGCACTGCTACCGGGCAAGAGGGAAAGCTAAGGGACAATACCAAACCCCGGTAAACAAGAACAGACAAGTCGAGGCTTAATTTACTCCTTTCCACCCTTCCTTCCTCCTCCCATACATTATGGCCACTTTTGAGTACCTTGCTCCTCCTCCCTGCCCTAACAGCCAGAGTCCACTTTCATAATGCTCTTATCTTAAAAAGCAAACTCAACCATCAGGCTGGCCTCATGGTATTGCCAACTCCAGACTCCAGAGCCTGGGCTCTTCAATACCAGGACACACAAGCAATCCTGCCAGGGCTCAAAGACCTCCTTCTGTGGAGCAGGAATTATGACCAGGGAGTTCACTCATCAAGGAGGTGGAAGACAGGGACATGGAGGGGCCAAAATCGCACATGAAACCCCACCATTTCAATGTTGAAGCCAAACAGGGACAGGTTTACCCCTGTTCTGAACGTTCCAAAAAGGACTTCCACAGGCTTGAATCGGGCACTCTTCCCCTGGCCAATAGCATGAGCAGAACCAAACAGAAAAAGTTCAAACATCATGTAGGTAGTTCCACATCCCGTCCGACCAGATGTATCCTTGGGATTCCTTTCTGGGGTTTTGGCTTCCCATGTATAAAATGATTTTAAGTTTTAGAGATTTCACAGATTGATACATACATTGTACAGGTTATAAACAAACACTTAGGGTTCTTTCTATTGACATGAAAAATAATGGTAGTGACTGTGACCTATTCCCCACAGCTTCCTACCCCAAGAGAGTTAAGTAAAGCACCCATACACTACTATGGCCAATTTACTCTTTATTGATTAAAAATGAGGAAACATGCAATAAAATACAAAGTCCAAAAAAGGGGAAAGGGGGAGGAGTTGAATATTTTACATCTTTCATAATCTAGCATTTGTCATAGGAGGACCCTCCATTTATTGATACACTATTATTTTATCCTCCAGATTATTAAGCTGGCTCTAGGATTTGGTTTAGAATTTAAGCAAAAAAACAAACAAACAAACAAACAAATCCACTAGTCATTGAGAAGGACCACATACTTTACAAACGGCATTGGCACCTATTACCTTGTGCTAGTTAGTTCCTACCCCAGGGATCCGAGGATTCTGGGGACCTAACGACAGAGGTGCACACTGGACCACCACTCCTGGAAAGGGGTAGGCTGCTCATTATATTACCTGCTGCCCCACTTGGGCAGTTTCTCTTCATTTATTGTCTTAACACCACTGCACAAGCCAGCAAAGGGAGTCTACTACACACATGCAGAAGAAGAAATAACACTGTCCTGGGCCTTGGTGTCTCTCCTAATTCCCAGCAAGGCAAACAAGGAACTGAAAAGAAAAGGAAAGCCCCTGCCTACTTCTACTGTCCTGTCTGCCCCAATGCCGCTCCAAGGTAAAAGGCCAAGCTGAAGAGAGTGACCAGCAGATAGCCTGCTGCTCACTCCTAGTCTGGGCGCCAGCCTACCTCGAAATAGAAAGCTCAGCTAGAGTAATGCTATGCTACTAACCTTTGGATTCATAAATAAGCAGACTAGGATGGGCTTGTTTGAAACCAAAAAAAGTATACTCTAAGGTTAAGCTACAACACCATCTCTGTTCCAAACCTCATTACCACCTCATCTTCCTGTTACCTCAACAATACTCCCCCTACCACAAAAGGGAAAAAGCTAAATATTTTTCCAATGAACTGAACAATCTTCTGTGTTCTCTTCCAGATTAGCAGGCACCTTCCTTGTATCAATCCTAGTCCTCTAATCTATGTTTCTCCCAACTGCCCATCTTAAATCTATTCCCTCTTCTCCCTTCAACATCCATCCCCTTCTCAAAATACCTTTGCACCTGGGACAGATGAAAGCCCAGAACTCAAACTACAGGATTGGTGAGACTGACAAATTGAGGAGTAAGCTTTCAGCGATGCTCCAAAAGTAGCTGAGGCAATCACATCAATATTGCCAGGAAGGGCTCAAGTGGCCCTGTAAGAAGCCATTTCCCACTTCCAAGGGAGCCAAAGCTCACCTTTATGTGTCTTTTTGGGGCCAGATTGTGTATTCGTCCTGTTCATATATAAAAACTTGGGAGGGCTATTAGTAGACAAAGGAGCAAACAAAGGAAACAACAGGAAAACAAATCTAACAAACAAACAAACAAAACCCAAAATCAATCCCACCGATTATTCACATATTGCATTATGAGTGCTCTTATTTAAACCTAAAGAATAATTTATATTATTTCTGTAGAAAATCAAATGAACACGTCTACTCATAAACCCTAAAGGTCACGGCACATGTGGTATCACCTTCCATCTTGAGTCAGGTTCAGTGCCAGACGTGTGGACCCCTCCAAAGGGTCAGTGCAGGAGAGGGGCAGAAGGCAGGTGTCTCCTTATTGCTGTAGAAATCTCAGCTTTGTACATCCATTTCTTTCCTTATGACTTGGAGGCCAGGCAAACTGATTTTCACGGGAGGATCGAGGAACAGTTCTTTACTTTTTAAAAGAGTTGAAAATATTTCACCAATGATATGAGCTATGATTTTTCCTGTTCAATAACACCTCTTTGAAAATTCACTTCTATAAGCCATTACTTGATGTTTTCTCTAAAAGCAGTCCAAAGTTCCACTCTAAGGGATGTGATGGCTGAAGTTTGACCAGTCTGATGTTTTGCACCAGCTGAAGTTAAGGCTAGCAACCCTTTCTGGAGGGAGCAATGAAGGGGGTGCCTGAGAGCAGCTTCAGCAAAACGTTTAGGAACAACGAGAACAAAACAAAAACAGTTTAGGCTGCCTCCATGTGAGGCTGTGCTTTTTCCTAACAAAGGTTGCTAGAATTCACATCAGGTACCAAGGAAATAACACTAAATTAAATTCTCTGGCTTCCAGCTGATCAACTAACTTTTAATTGCTACTTCAGCGGTAAGGAGATATCCGAGGATGCCCACGTCCCAGCAGGTGTGGGAAAAGAGGCAGATAAGGGACATTATACAGCTGCTACTTTCCCACCCTAGGCTGTCATTGGAGTAAGGCAAGAAAGAGCTGACAGATCTCCCTCCTGGGTCTTGTGGCTTCCGAGCCACATCTCAGATAGAGGGAGGAGGGACACGTGCAGTGAGTTTTACTAACGGAACTCTTTAAGGGGGTGCTGGCCACTGATGATCCAACTTTTCTTTTCCTGTGAAAAAAAGGGGTAATGATGGCAGGAAGAACAAAAAGACAGACCTCTAAAGCTCCTAGCCAGGGAGGTTTGTTGCTGGGTTCTTTGGCAGTAGTGGGTTTAGGCCAACAAAAGCAACAGAGATACGCATGTATGGAATCTCCTTAGGCCACCTCTTCTGGGCTGTGGTTTAGCTGATGCTGAGCTGGGCAAATCCTATTAGTTTTCCATCATCAGGAATATCCGAGCCTTCTACACCAGATGCCTGAGAACCAAACAAAATGAGAAGTTGTGGCTATTTAGGAACAAAATTCAGGTAGCAATTAGAAGCCATATGAGGACTGTGGGAAGGAAGGGGGGCGGGGGAGGGAGAGAAAGGGGTGCAGGTCCCTGGGATGCAAACCAGAAGCTGAAAAAGGTAACGTATCTCTTCTAAAAGAGATGGACAACTGGGCACACAAGCTGCAGCTATACTGGCTCATCTCTTTTGAGAAGACTCAAGGTACCAGAGAGGTGGGGGGACAGTGGGTGTGTCCAGAGGGTGGGAGGTGTGTGTGTGTGTGTGTGTCCAGAGAGGTGGGAGGTGGGGTGGGGTGGGGGAACAGTGGGTGGTAAAGAAGGGAGGCCACTCAAAGGAAGACATCAGCCCTGGGCTTCCAGGAGGCTAGATACAATCAAGCAAACTGTAATATTCTCATCATGCAGGGAATATGGAAGCTAGTTTCTAGAGACTGTTGTGTATAAAAGGTAAGGTGGTTTAATAAGTAGAAAAGGGATGAATACCAGTTTGAAAGTGACAGATCGATTTGACTGAGGTTCTTCCACAATTTTCTGCAAATTAGCTGCCACTGTAATTATACAAACAGAGAAAGCAAAGAGACGAAGTATATTCACTTTCTACCATATTTAAAAGGCTTAAATGATAGTTCAGAATCTTCTATGTAGAATCAAAATGAAAGTACACAGATCACATAATAACTCCCTAACATTTCTTTTAAATTCATCGCTAGTAGTACAAATAAAAGAATCGCTGTCATATTAATTTTCTGTAAACTGCTTTATCAGTCTATGAAAAACACTTGGTGAAAAAAGTATGCTGTGCCTCCTCATGGAATAGAGCGTCTTAGACTGGGAGTCAGCAAACTGTTTTGTTCTGCCTGCAAACCAAAAATGGTTTAAAAATAAGCGACCTTATAAGATTGCTTCAAAAGTTCATGGAACAATGGGATGGATAGACAATGGAATTTTTCCACAAACATTGTGAAGTTCTCTCAGATATAGCCCATTTATTATCCAGCTTTTTACAGAAACAGTCTGCATTAGCGATGGTTTTTCCTTCAGTGTTATGTATCTGTGGCCTGACTGGGTCTTCCTTCTTTCAAGGGCTAAATGGTTAATGATTTCTGCTTCCCTCTTGACTCCACAAGGGTAGAATTCACCTTCCACAAAGAACTAGGTATGACCAGGCTCACATTAATGTATGATTTTTGCCATCAATACTACTTGGGTCTCCCAGAGGTCTGGATGTGTTTTCACTGACTATCATTGGAGGCCACAAAACAAACACAGATGTGAGATTTGTTTGTTTTAGTGAGGAGGTAAGAAACTGTACCTAATAGTCTATAATTTCAGCAAAGTAAAAAACAAATTCCAATAGCCAGCAGATCTAGTTGGTGGAACAGAAGTCTAGTTTTCTGGGTACTAATTATTAGGAGCAAGTACAATGCCGTTACCTATTACTAAATCCCTTCCATCGACCAGGCCAGCAGAAATGAGTTCCTGAGAGACACCCTCCGCTGTATCTGCAAGGACAAAGGAGGGATTCATTTCTTGCATACGTCACTGTTAACTCTACGAGCCAGCATGGGTGTCAGCATTGCTACCCCCAAACTAGCTGCTAAATTCCCAGAATTCACCTTCCACAAAGAACTAGGTATGACCAGGCTCACATTAATGTATGATTTTTGCCATCAATACTACTTGGGTCTCCCAGAGGACCAAGCAGATTTTTACAGAAACAGTCTGCATTATATGCAGGTTTTCCTTTCACAAAAGGATTTCTCCTAGCACTCAACATTATCTCCAGGGAAGCATCCTCACAAGTGTATCAGAAATCAAAATCAACCAGCAGAAATATCAGCTTGACGTAAAAATACTTTCTACATCACAGTTTAATGTGAACGGATCAGGACCATGTCAAAGGGCATCTGACAGTGAGCTGCACCAGAACTCCCTGTCCTGACCATAGCTCTCTCAGACCATAGCTCTGGGATGTGATGATGGATGTAGAACATCTTCAGGATGAATAAAACAGAAGGACTTTCTGTCAATTAAAACTTGAGGGAACATAATGTAAACTCTTCCTTTTGGAGATGACTCAAATTTTTTGCTAAAATCATTTCTTTTTCATACTGGTCAGCTTTTTCTCCTATCTAGTTATCCCAGATGGAACAACCTGAGCAATGGCAGTAAGTAGAAAATGAAAAGACAAAGCAGAGTTATCTCCAAACTGAGTAGTGATGGGTGCAGAAGACTGACCACTGAGCTCCTCAAGAGGAATGAATGGTGAGGGGCAACCACATCCTAGCTAGGATGACCAAAGATTTAAATTAATCCTTTGATATATGACTTTGCCTGGTTTTAAAAAACTAAAAAAAAAAACCCCACTTTTCTCTGTACACCTATTCTTGGTAATGAGTAGTTGCTGATGATACTGAGAAATGGGAGAGAGTGTGACACAGAACAGATACCTGCTGGTGTGGACACTCCCCCAAATGAGAGCACTGAGTAACAAAGGCAAAGACAAAACAAGCTTCATTCCAAGAAGGAGGAGTTCATGGCCAGAAACAGTGCATGATAGGTTCCCTGTGAGTCTCAGGACAGAGCAGACTGAAGACCTTGGTTCTTATTTACTATCATGGAGGACAAGCAGTTACAATGATCAAAGAACAAGCTTTGGATTCCAACATATCTGGGTTTGAAGTCCACTTATGCCTTTTCCCAGCTATGTGACCTTGAGAAAGTTACTTTGCTTCTCTCTGAACCTTGATTTCATCACCTAAAAAATGGGATAATAAAAGTTTTTCCTTGAGGGATCCATCACTGTTAAGTGCTGTTAAGTCAGTTCCCTCTCATAGAGAGCCTGTATAGGATTTCCAAGAAGCAGCTGGTGGGTTTGAAACACTGGTCTTTTGGTTACCAGTTTAGTGCTTATCTTACAGAATCACACCAGGAATCCACAAGTAATCAACGAAAGCTATATTAATTACTATGTGCAAGTACACTAGATTTTCTAAGTTAGTTTACTACTAAGTAAACTACATTTTTATTTTATTCATTTGTCTGTCAAAACCTTCAAACCAAGAAAAAATTTTATTGTCCTTCTAAAGCAAATATCTAGAAGACAGGTATCTTCACAACACATTTCATAAAATAACCAGGACAATGAGAAGTTACTTCCCCCCACCAATGTTTTTGATGCCTTACCTCTCCCAGGAGTAAATTCAAATCGGATATCATTGAGTTCTTTTTTTGAATTTCTATGAAAGAAAACAAAGTGCAATAAAAATCTCTGCATTTACAGACTCTGCCAAAGTGTATTATGAAAACTGTACCTCAAGAAGACCTATTATGTTCTGATAAATCATACCATTTGTCTGTGTGGGTTCACACTGCAGGGCTTTGATACAAACAACTTAAAATGATTATCTGATTGTCCCCTACATCCATTGATAAGGAGATTTGGTAGTATAGTGGTTACGAGTTGGGCTGCTAATGTCAAGGTCAGCAATTCGAAACTACCAGCCGTTCCATGGGAGAAAGATGAGGCTTTTTGCTCCTGTAAAGATTTACAGCCTCGGAAACTGTGTTCAGAGTTGCCACCATGAGTTGGAACGGACTCCATGGCATACCACCATCATCACTCATGCCTTTAAGGTCATTGTTATATTCCCACTCCATCCTCATTCCCACTAAGATGATAATATATATATATATATAAGAAAATCTGTCTGAGCACAGGGTGGTAAGACTTAATGCGTGGGTAGGCAAAGAGGATGGGGAAAAGAAGTAGGCCCTTATTGGCACCACATGACTCTAGAAACTTAAAAACAGGTACTGAAATTAGCTAGCTTCCCCAGAGAAGTTTGCTGACAACAGAAAAATTAAAAGGCAAATATACCTGATCATTTCAGACCCAAAATATTTTCTTTAAGTAGCACAGATGGTTTAGGTCTGTCTGACAAATAATATGCCTGAGGATATTAGTGAAATTATCCTTAAAATATGAGTAACCCTTTCAAACACGCTATTGTTCCTAAGTGCCGTTGACATGGTTACTCATAGCGATCCTGTATATGGTTTCCAAGGAGCGGCTGGTGAGTTTGAACCACCGATTATGCAGTTCAAACCGACCTTGAGGTGGAGCGCTTATTCTATAGCACCATCCCAGGCCTGCCTCAGTGAGTTTTCTATCACAGTGCCTCTTCTCTGTCCTTATACACACAGGCATGCGCTCTGTATGTACACTATCTGAGAACTGTTTTGAAGCTGTGTGAAACACATACAAACCAATTTTCTACCTAAACTTATCAAAGGAGATAGTTAATTGTCTTTTTTGGAATTCTGCCACAATATTGGTATCTTTCGAAAATACACGTATCTTAGGAGAGCTGGTGTAGTGCTGTGGGATAAAGCACCAGACCGCAAGGTGGGTTTGAAGTACAAGGTCAGTGGTTCTTGGGAACCCTACACAGGGTCACTATGAATGAGAACCAACCTGAAGGCACTTAACACCAACACCAAGAGTGCTATGCAGAGTCTGTGTGCTCAATACATGAGTAATTATTCAAAAACAGTTTCTTGGTTTTTTTTGGAAAGTTGAATAAAATTAAGATTAAAATGTTCAACACAAGTTGATTCATTTAACTGGCATATCAACTACAAACACCTTCAAAGACATCGAAAACAGTTAACTTGGCTAAATATGTTTTTTATCATCTCTATTGGCCACGTAACTTCCTAGTCCTAATGTATGTAAGTAAGAATACAGCATCCTACTCTATAAGAACATCTGGAACACAGACCGTAACCATCATTTTCTCAAAAAGTGAACTACATCACTTACCACTTACAAGTATCTTCATGATCTTGCTGAAGCACGTGTCAAAGTAAATTTATGTACTGCCCATCAACAAAGTTTTTCTTTAAAGAGACAAGCGGTATTCTATATGTATAATTACAATGATGTTCTTGTTGTTGTTAAGTGCCATCAAGCTGGTTCCGACTCATAGCAACCCTGTATAGTATTTCCAAGGAGTGCCTAATAGGTTTGAACCACTGACCTTGCAGTTACCAGTCCAGTGTTTGTCCTAGAGTGCCACACCAGTTCAATTAACATAGGATGAGTCAAATCATGTATCTTTTAATTCAGAAGTATTTGAAGTATACTGACTAGGCTTCTATAAAGGATAGGCAACCAAATCTATTCTCTTTACATTCATGGAATAATTTCAATGCATCAACTGGTAAGATCAAAACATTCTCAAAATAGCTCTTGCTGCTTCCATCTCACTTCTAATTACAGTTTTACCAAGAAGACTGTGAATTCATATTTAGAAGGAGGATGAGTCAATGGAAATTCAGTGGAACTCTTTAAAAATGTCAGTGATAGTTAAAATACAAGTTATCTCAGGTCACACTTTTAATACTATATGTATTTTTTAAATGCATTTATGAGTAGAAAGAGACCTAATCTGACAAGAAAACTCTGGAATCACGATCCTAATCCAACTACTGGCAGAATAAAAAGGTCAAAACGAACAGATTGCTACCTATGGCACTGTCTGTTGTGCAGTCTTTCAAGAGCTCACCATATACGCCTCCATCAAGAACCAACACTTTACTTAAAAGCTTGCAAGCAGCCATTCAAGGTACAATGTTGGACTCTGTTTGCTTGGAGCAACAAAGGAAGAAGGGTAGACAGGAAAAGGAAGAATTGGACTGAGCCAAGCTATCAGTACTGACTACCACTCATCTGTCAGTTTGTCATACTGTGATGGCTTCCTTGCAGCTGTGACACTGGAAACAATGCAATCAGTATTATAAATACCACCAGGATCACCCCTAGTGGAAAGTTTCAGCAGAGCTCCCAGAATAAGATTAGGAATAAAGAGATGCAGACCACTTCTGAATGGTTAGCCACTGAAAACCTTGTGAACAGCAGCATAACATTGTCAGACTGGCAGATACAGTGCCAGATGATGAACCTTTCCACTCAAGGTACAACTAGGGAAGATCTGCCTCCTCAAAGTGGAATTTCACTACAATGATGTGAATGGAGTAAACCTTTTGGGACCTTCATTTGATGATGGCACCCAACTCAAAATAAGAAGAAACAGCTGCAAACATCCACCAATAATTATAATGTGGAATGCACGAAGTATGAATCTAGGAAAATCAGACATTGTCAAAAACGAATGGAACACTCAGAGATCAATATCCTAGGCATTAGTGAGCTGAAATGGACTTCTATTGACCATTTTGAATTTGACAATATTATAATTTACACTATGCCAAAAATGCAAAACTGAAAAGGAATGGCCTCACATTCATCACCAAAAAGAACATTTCAAGATCTATTCAATAGGTACAATGTACTTTGTTACAGGATAATATTCATATGCCTACAAGGAACCTGTATATAGACCAATAGGCAGTTTTTTGAACAGGGGTTCTTTCACCATACTTACTCAAACTGTATGCTGAGCAAATAATTTGAGAAGCTGGATTATATGAAGAATAATGAGGCATCAGGATTAAAGGAAGATTCATTAACAATCTGCAATCTGTAGATGATACAACCTTGCTTGCTGGAAGCAAGAGGTCTTAAGATACGTGATGGTCAAAGATAACATCCTTCAGTATGGATTGCACTTAAATGTTAAGAAAACAAAAGTCCTCACAACTGGACCAGTAAATAACATCATGATAAATGGAGAAAACATTGAATTTGTCAAAGATTTCAATTTGCTTGGATTCACAAGCAATAATCATGGAAGCAGCAGCCAAGAAATCCAATAACACACTGCATTACGCAAATCTGCTGCACAAGACCACTTTAGTGTGTTCAAGAGCAAAGACGTCCATTTGAGGACTACGGTGTCCCTGACCCAAGCTACAGTATTTTCAATAGCTTCACATATATGTGAAAGTTGGAGAATGAATAAGGAAGACTATAGAAGAATTGATGCATTTGAGTTGTGGTGTTAGAGTAGAACAAGCAAATGTGTTAAAAGAACAGCCAGAATGCTACTTTGAAGACAGAATGGTAAGACTTGATCTCTTATACTTCAGACATGTTGTCAGGAGAGATGAGTCCATGAACAAAGACATCTTGCTTGGTAAAGTGGAGGGTTGGTGAAATACAGGAATTGGCACAGTGGCAAAGCAATAAACTCATGCGTAATAACAGTTGTAAGGATGGTGCAGGACCAGACAATGTTTCGTTCTGTTGTGTATACGGTAACTATGAGTTGGAACTGACACCATGGCACCCTGACAACAAGGAAGATCAGTTAATACCACTATTATTCATATTTACACACCAACCACTAAAGGAAGTGATGATGAACTTGGAGAATTCTACGAACTTCTTCAATTTGAAACTAATCAAACATGCAATCAAGATGCATTGAATAACTACTGGTAATTTGAATGCAAAGACTGGAAACAAAGAAGAATGATCTGTAGTTAGAAAATATGGCCTTCATTATAGAAATGATGCTGACAATGGCATGATGCAATTTTGTAAGACCAATGACTTATTCATTACAAGTATGTTTAGTAAACAACATAAAATGCGACACATGAACCTCACCAGATGGTATACCCAGGAATAAGATGGACAACATATGTGGGAAAAGATGGTATGGAAGCTCAATATTATCAGCAATAACAAGGCCAGGGGACAGACTATGGAATAGACTGTCAATTGCTCATATGCACGTTTAGGCAGAAATTGAAGAAAATTGAAACAAGTCCACAAGAGCCAAAACATGGCCTTGAATATATCTGGTCTGGAGATGCTGGTGTGGCGCTATGGGTTAATGCACTGGAGTGCAAAGTCGGTTTGTCCCACAGGTCAGTGATTCAAGCTCACCAGCCGCTCCTTGGAAACACTACACAGGGTTGCTGTGGCTCAGAACCGACTCAATGGCACTTAACAGCAACAATATCTCATCTGAATTTAGAGACCATCTCAAAAACAGATTTGCTACATTAGACACTAATGAACGAAGATCCGAAGAGTTGTGGGATGACACCAAGAATATCATACAGGAAAAAGACAGGAAAGACAGAAAATACAAAAAATGGATGACCATCAAGGGAGAAGAGTGGAGTGCGGGATCCTATCCAGAGAAGCAGTGACACCAGAGATAGAGGCAGAGATGATGACGTGGAGAGATGAAACAGCTGGGAACTCTGGACTCAGGGAGAGAGAGGGGCTGTGTACTGATAGCTTGGAGGCAGGCTTTTGGGGTGTACCCTTTGGTTGTTTGAATGGCTATATATGCCCAAGTGCTTCGGTGTATATAAAAAACAACAACAAACAAAACAGAGGGAAGGGAAGCAAATGCTGTTGAATGATGATTGATGCATGGAGGGTATTTATAATTGCAATGAAATGAAACACAAGAGAATAAATGTAAAGCTGATGTTCTCCCATGTAAACTATCACTCAATTCACAAAAAAAAAAAAAAAAAAAAGTATGTCAGAAGAAACTCTGAAACGTACTTTTGATCATAGAGAAGCTCAAGTGAATGGAAGACATAAGAATTAAACAGAAAATTTCAAAGGGCAGCTCAAAGTCAAGTAGTATAAAGAAATGTGCAAAGACCTCGAGTTAGAAAACCAAAATGGAGAAGCACAGTCAGTATTACTCAATATTACAGGATTCCATGGATAAAATATTGAATGATCTAAAAGCATAAAAAAAAAAAGAAGAAGAAGAAAGAAAGACACAGAGTCACTGAATCAGAAAGAAATGGTCAGCGTTTAACCATTTCAAGAGGTTCATTTGATCATGAACCCATGGGGCTGAAGGAAGAAGTCCAAGCTGCACTGAAAACATTGGCAAAAAAACAAGATGGAATACAAATTGAAATAGTTTAACAAACTGATGCAGCACTGGAGGTGCTCACTCATTGCCAAGGAATTTGGAAGACAGCTACCTGGCCAACTGATTGGAAGAGATCCATATTTGAGCTCATTAAAAAAAAAAAACGTAACCCAACAAATTCAGATGTCATTGAACAATATCATTAATATCACACGCAAGTAAAAGTTTTACTGAAAATAAATTAAAAACCCACTGCAACAGTGCATCGACAGGGAATCAGCACAAATTAAAGGTGGACTCAGAAGAGGACATGGAACAAGAGAGATATCATTGCTGAAGTCAGATGGACCTTGGCTGACAGCAGAGAATAACACAAAGATGTTTACTTATATTTTATAAATCATGCACAGTTTCCCCACTTTGCGTATCATAACAAACTATGGATAACATTGCAAGGAATGGGTATTCCAGAACACTTAGTTGAGTGTGTTCAAGAGGACCTATATGTTGACCAAGAGAAAATTATTGGAAAAAAACAAAGGGATACTAAACGGTTTAAGATCAGAAAAGGTGTGCATAAGAAATGATCTTGTACTCTTTCATCCTACTTATTCAATCTGTATGCTAAACAAATAATCTGAGAAATTGGATTATATGAAGAATAATGAGGCATCATGATTGGAGGAAGACTCATTAACAACCTGCGATATGCAAGTGGTACAATCTTGCTTGCTGGAAATGAAGAGGACTTAACATATTTACTGATGAAAATCAAAGACTACAGTCTTCAGTATGGATTGCACCTCCATGTAAAGTAAGTGAAAATCCTCATAACTGGACCAATAAATAACATCATGATAAATGAAGATGAGATTGAAGTTGACAAAGACTTTGATTTATTTGGATCCATAATCAACACTCATTGAAACAACAGTCAAGAAATCAAATGACATTGCATTAAGAAAATCTGCTGCAAAAGACCTTTAAAATGTTCAAGAACAAAGATGTCAGTTTTAGGACTACAGTTGACCTTACTCAAGTCTTATTACTTTCCATCACGACATATGTAAGTGAAAGTTAGAAACAAATACGGACGTCTATAGGAGAATCAATTCATTTGAATTATGGAGTTGGAGAAGAATATAGAGAGTACCAAGGACTGCTAGAAGAACAAACAAATCTGTCTTGTAAGAAGTGAAGCCCCAGAATGCTCCTAAGAAGGACATCAAGCCTGGTAGAGAAGAGGGTTAGCTAAAAAGAGGAAGACCCTTAATGACATGGACTGGCACAGTGGCAGCAACAATGGTGTCAATATGTACCAATTGTGACGATGGCACAGGTCTGAGCAGTGTTTCCTTTTGTTCTTCAGAGTTGCTATGAGTCGGAACTGACTCAATGACACCTAACTGCAACAACAATCAAGAAACAAGAGAATGCATGTCATAGAACCCAGTGATATATAGATCCTCACATTATTTCTATAATTTCTTAGAGAAATAATATACCTGGGAGCAAACAGCACCTGATGCTAAGACAACACATAGTCCATTCCAACTACTCTCAAAAAAAGCAGACAAGCCAAAAAAGAAAACAGTATTCAGAGTATTCAGAAAGCCAAAAATGTCTACTTACCTTAATCTTAGTACTAGACTGATTGGGACCTTGGTTTCTTGTGAGCCTGCTCCTGAAGTAAGAGCCTAAAATGCATTGAAAGATATACAGTCACTGCCAGAAACATTCAAAATGGAGTAGCCCAAAGGGTCAATTGCAGAGGAATCATTCAATTGGCAGCAATTCTTTTCATCTCCAGATAAGGTCATCTTAGTCCCTAGGACAGTCCTTGCTACAGTAGAGTATGTACACAAGGCAACAACATGAGCTGAAGTCAGTCTGAGTACCAGAACTTAAAAGGTAATTCTCAAACCCATATAGCATATTTAAATTCTGTACTTTCCAGACCCCGGTTCTCACTACAGAGATGAAAGAAGTGAAGTTTGATATATATATTTGTTAACATTTAAAGATCTTCCAATGCGCCACACAATACAGCCTAAATCGGCTGCCTCCTAGGAATGTGTCCAAATCTGAGATTACAGATCTGTTTCGGAGTAAGTTAATCCTCTCTGAAATCCCTTGCTTGCTGGCGAAAATAAATTCCACTGAAGTTATCAAATAAAATCAATCTTATCCATCAGTTTTCATAAGAATCTTTTCCCATATAATATACAGACATGAGAGCTAGAATGATGAAAAGGTTTAAATCCAGTCAGCATCATGACTGTGAATTGTTTGAAGCAATGGACTCCAAAATTGGAGCATAAGATGATTTAATGGGATATAAGAAGAAAAAAATCACAACTTCCATTTCTATTTATTTTCATCTAAAATATGAAAATGAAACTTACAATATTTAATAAAAGAATTGACTCTGGAGCTCTTACTGTAAGCATGTAGCATAAGGTCAGGTCAAATATAGTAACTGAGTTTACAGAGGGATAGGCAAGTGACTCTACAACACAGAGTTCATAGTGGGGCCTTTAGCCATTCAGTTGCTTTTAATGTGCACAGTTTAATGAAGTCTGTGTTGTGATTTAGTAAGTGGATTTATGTATTACCTAGTTAACTAAGTCAGACTTCAAAAAATTGACCGTATCTGAAAAAGATTAATATGGAAAATCCATAGATTGAAGATTGTTTTATTAAGAAATACAAGCATAAATGAACAAGAAAACAGTACAGTGGACAATACTGTCACTGATAGTATAAGCTCTGTTGGGTGAAGTAAAATACAATTATCAAGAGCTGATAAGAGATCAATTTAAAAATGTAGCATGCTTGAGATGTTTCAGTTTTTAACTGCTAATGCCAAACATAATGTGTGATCCTCAAAAACTATCATATAAGCATAACTTTATATAGCTCATTCCTAACTTGCTTCAAAATATACCAAGATATCAAATTATGTTGTATTCCAAATGAATCTGCTTTCCTCATCTACCCAGAGAAGGTCATTACTGAGTAGATCCCCACTTTACCTGAGTTGTTTTTGTTGGCTCTGCAAGGGTTGGGACAGAGACTTGAGTTGGCTGGGCAGACATCTGTCCAGCTGGCTGAGGTAGATAAGCAGGGATCTGTTCTGGAACTTGGAGCAAATTACCCACGGGATCTGCTGTTGGAAAGAGCTGTAACAAAAACATAATACAATGCTGCCTAAGTAGACTAGAGAGGGAGCCAGGGCTACTGATAAGCAAGTAAAACTTGGCTGTTGCTGTTGTTAAGTACCATCGAGTCGGTTCCGACTCACAGCAACCTTGTATAGGGTTCCCAAATTAACTGCAGGGTCTGAAATGCTGACCTTGTGGTTCACAGTCCAGTGCTGATCCTATAGTGCCAAATCAAGAGTCCAAAGTAGAACCTTACTAGGAGACATTTTCAAAGTAGTTTTCATATATTGAACTGACATGGTGCACTGGACCACAATATTGGTTTGTGTAACAAGGACAGTGGTTCAAACTAACCAACCACTCCTCGAAAACGCTATGCAGGGTGGCTATGAGTTGGAACCAACTCGACGGCACTTAACAACAACAACTGGCAATTGATATGTCTTTGAATACCCCTATCCCAAATGAGAACCAAACATTTCCAGGTCAACAATTGCTTTTTTTTACAACTTTTTGAGGTGTCATTTATATTTCAAGTTCATGCATTTTAAGTTTTTAGATTTTAAGGTTTTCAGAAAATGCATACAGCTGTACACTCATCACCTCAGCCAGTTTTAGATCACTTTCCCCATGTGCAGTTATTTCTGCTCCCTACCTGCAGTCCCAGGAAACCACTGATCAACTTTGTCTCTATTTATTTGCCTTTTCTAGGCATTTCATGTAAACAGAATCATGCAATATACGAAGAGGCTTCCGTCAAGCAAAAATAACATCCCTCAAATACAGAGTTTTAAGTATGAAACACAAGATTACAGAAGCAACATTTTCCTATGTCTAAGGGCCTCCCGTGATTCATAAAGAAAGGCAATACTCAATGATTCCTTAACATATCTGAAATGCATTTCAAAAATGAACATGAAGTTTTAAAACTAACATGGATACCATATGTATTATTTTAGGTTTGAAATATTTCAAAAATTTTAACAATGTGATTTTGGGAAAAAAAGACTGAGGTTGAGTATATATTGAAAATTGTAAGTAACTAAAAAAATCAGTACAGTGAGCAAAATTTTAAAGAGCAATTTAAGAAACTGGAAGAGGGAAACAAACTAAAAAGACAGTAAGAGAGGCCTAATAGCTGATGAAGTCCCTGGTAATGTCAAGGGTTAATGTTCTTACTACTAATCAAAAGGTAGGTTCAAGTTCACTAAGAGGAGCCTTGGAAGAAAGGTCACAATTTAATCCATGTTGTTGTTGTTGTGTGCCATGGAGTCGGTTCCGACTCTTAGCGACCCTGTACAGGGTTTCCGAGGCTGTAAATCTTTACGGGAGCAGAAAGCCTCATCTTTCTCCCGTGAAACAGCTGGTAGTTTCGAACTGCTGGCCTTAAGGTTTGCAGCTTGGTCTGTAACCACTACGCTACCAAGAAACCTTTATCTTTTCTTTCAAAATCCAGAACCAATGAGTAACTGTTGACTTCCTGTATATGAAGCTAATGAACACAAAATCTTACTTCCATGTCTTCTGAATTTTTATATAACATCAGCTATTAAAACAACATCTACTTCTGAAAACCCAGTCACTGAAAACACTATAGAACACAGTTCTACTCTGACACACATGGTGTTGCCATGAGTCAACTAGTAAGCAACTGATCTGTTTTTTCTTATGGATTAAATTTTGTCCCCCTAAAAGACATGTTGAAGTTAACCCCTGGTTAATTTGTTTGGCAATAAGGTTTTTAAAGACACTATCACTTAAACTAACAGGAGGTAAATAAATACTGGAATATGTTGTTGCTGTTAAGTGCCACCAAGTCAGTTTTGACTCACAGTGACCCTAGGATTTCCGAGGAGAGGCTGGTGGGGTTAAACCATCAACTGTGTGGTTGGCAGTTCAATGCTTACCCTAAAGCACCACACCAGGACTCCATACTAGAGTATGGTTAGTCCTATCCTAATTCCATATGAGTGCTATCCTTATAAAAGAGAAGTGACATGCAGAGTGAAGACAGTCATGTGACAAAGGAGTTGTGTGGCAGCTACAAGCCAAAGAAAGCATGGGGCTACCCGAAACTGTAAGAGACAAGTAAGGACCCTATCCTACATTCTTCCAAGGGAATATGGCCCTGCTGATATTCTGAACTGCGACTATTTGCCTCTAGAACTGTGAGACAGTAAATTTGTATTTTTATAAGCCATCCAATCTGTGATATTTTGTTGACAACCCTGGGAAATTAATACAAGCTTTAAGATTAGTTTTGAAGATGTTAATAGCTACTAACATGATTTCAAAAGGACATTATATACTCATTGATGTCTACTTATACTAAAGATACAAAAGAGATCCAAAACAAAGTTATGAATATGAAAATATAATTGAAAGTATGTGAATTCACACAGAGATTTTATTTAGGAAAGGAAACGAGGAATAGCCTAAAGTAAAAATCTCTGGATACTCTCTAAAATATCTCCATTCAGTCTCTTAAGAACTAAATCATATCTATCCTACATAGGGTTTCTGAGGCTTTAAATCTTCATTAGACTAGAAGGCCTCATCTTTCTCTAACAGAGCAGCCAGTGGGCTCGAACTGCTGACTTCATGGTTCTCAATCTAGTGATTATTGTATGGAGTCACTGAGCTCCCAAGGATTAGTTAACATGAGTTAAAATAGAGAGAAACAATTAATTTGAAAATTTCACTTGATTAAAACAAGTTATTTCTTGCATACCATGTCTAGCTCTACTCCAGCAGGGGCTATCTGAGGGATGCACATCAAAGTGGCAGAGACAAGGGAATACAGCAAATTACATATGACTCTAGGGCTACCTCCTGTAGGTGATACACATTACTTCCACTCACATTTCATTGGCCAAAAGGAACTCACACGGCCAGTCATAGCTTCAAGTGATAAGGAAATGTAATTGTACCATACACTAAGAAGAGGAGCCAGAAATATTACTGAACAGCAGTTTTAATATAACTTGCCTGGTCCTGGCTTGTTAATATGTTGACATACAATACTTATTTTCAGTCCTAAACAACACAGTACTATATACACAAATGTCTTAGATGATGAAAAAATGTTACTTGTAAGCACTGGGGAATTATTGGTTTAAAGATCAAGAGATGTGTACCATTAAACCCAGCACTGAGCTCTTAAACGAAGATGCCACTAGATGGAAGAATGCATAACAGAAAGGATCCATTAAACGGTCATTCCCCTCAGCTAGTGAGAATAAGATAGGCCAGGCTGACAGGATCCTGCTTTAGTAGGATTCCGTATCAGAAGAGGTAGAAACTACAGAAAACAGAACCTACTGGATGAGAGAATAAAGGAGGAAGAGGTGCTAAAAAATTCTTGTCAGATAAATGCAAAACTACTACTTCCCTCTTGAAGCAGCCCCAAGCCAAAGAAGCAATTCCTAAATTCAGACAAGCAAGGAAGAGCATTCTGGACCCACAGGGCAGCTTTTTAAATTAGTGCAAAGGCACAAATCTGCCAAAAAGGCATCTGTCCAAACTCAGAAATGGTATCTCTGATAAAATTCAATTGGTATAAATTCTCATTTTTCATTTTGGCGTATTAAACTAATATTCTTAAAGCTACAAGCAAATCTAAACAAAAGCATGTATATACTTCTATAAAGATTCACAAATCACAATTACTTACCTCAGAATTTAATGGTTCTTTCACTCGAGGAGACTAAAAGAAATACAAAAAAAGGAGGCTTGTTAACTCATAACTTGGGTCAGTCCTAATCTACAACTAGTGTTGAAATGTACTTTTGTACTACTTTTCATTCTGATCTACACACTAATTTGCCAGTAGTGGTAGTTAGATTTTTATGGAAAAGGACAACTATCATAGTACTGGATAAACAATCTCTCCACGTCATTGTCTCTGCCTCCATCTCCGATGTCACTGCTTCTCTGGGTAGGGTCCCGCACTCCATTCCTCTCCTGTGATGGTCCCAGGGACCTACTCTCCTGGACTGCAAAGTCAGCCACTCCCCTCCTTTTGTTACAAAATGTCTACCTTTACATTTTCAACGCTCATCGTCAGTTCTGATGTAATTATTCACTATTGTACCACGGGAGTCTTATCCGCATCACCTCTCATCAGCCCCACCCAGGCAGACTGGAAACCAACCACTCAGTGGAGAGTCTACCGTCCTCTGCACCCTTTATATATATAATTATTATTTTTTTTTTGTCCTATCCCCCACACCTTTTATCAACCCCATCCAGACAGGTTGGAAACAATGCAGTGGAGATTCTATCTTTCCCTGTACCCTCTGGAATTAGGTTTCCTATTGAAAGCTCCGTAAGCCAGTCACTTCGTGCCTTTGAAGCCCCCCCCCCACCCTCCCCCATTTTGGGTAGCCAATGGTCTAGGTTCCCCATCTTTGTCAACCCTGTGTACCAAGGGGATGGGAATGAAACTCACTGTAAAGATTTGTTCACTCCTTTGTCATACTGCATCCATAAGCATAGGTCAAGTTCATCCAATTTTAGTGGTTTACGCTTTTTCCCCCCCTCTTCTTCCTTCCTCTAGTCGTATTCTGATCATCCAGCCATTGGTGCCAGGTCAAATGGGTACTATCTGCAAGTGTGAGTGTTCTTGTACATTTCCCCTCACTTCAATCAGCTGGATGCTTCACACTCCACTGTAGTCCTCTGGGGCCATGTCCCTACCCCTGGGTCCAGGAGTCCCCAGGTCTCGTCATACTGCTGGTTAGCAACGTCTCAATCCAAGTTAACAGGAGCCTATTGAGTGTGGGGCTTAGCTCACAACCTCATTGCTGTTTTTCCCCCACTTCTCCTTATCGGTGACTGGCATCCATTTTTGTCTTTTTCACCTGTGTTTTTGCTTTCTTCCAATATAATACTCTTGATGTTACCCCTCAACTCTTCTGATTTTTGATCATTACTGTCTAATGTATCAAATCAGTTCTTGAGATGGTCTCTAAGTTCAGATGGGATATATTCAAGTTTATAGTCTGGCTCTCTCAGAGTTGTTTTACTATTCTTCAGCTTCAGACTGAGCTTGCATATGACCAATTCATGGTCTGTTCCACAGTCGGCCACTAGTCTTATTTTGGGTGATGATATTGAGCTTCTCCAATGTCTCTTTCCACAAATGTAATCAATTTGATACCTGTGTATTCCATCTGATGAGGTCCATGTATATAATTACTTTTTTGGTTCTTTAAAATAGGTATCTGCAATGAGTTAAATAGTTGGTCTTACAAAATTCTATCATGGGATTTCCAGCATCATTTCTATCATTAAGGCCACAGTTTCCAACTACTGATCCTTCCTTTTTGTTTCTGACTTTTATAATCCAGTCATCATTAATTATCAATTCATCTTGATGGCACATTTTATCAATTTCAGAGTGAAGAAGTTAGTAGAATTCAGTTTCATCATCTGGCTTTAGTGGTTGGTGCATAAATTTGAATAATAATGGTATTGATTGGTTTTCTTTGTAAGGGTATGGGTATTATCCTATCAAAGACAGCATTATACTCCAAGATAGATCTTACAATGTCCTTTTTAACGATGAATGTGACACCATTCCTTTTAAGTTTATTGTTTAATTTTTGACAACTTCTAGTTTTCCTATATTCATACTTCATAATTCTACATTCCTCTATTATTAATGGATGTTTGCAGAACAGCCTGTTCACGTCATTATGGTCAACTCTACTTTGTGGAGGCAGCTATTCCCAGATGTATTTTGAATGCTTTTCCAACTGAGGGACTCATCTTCTGACACTACATCTAACAATGTTCTGCTGATATTCATAGCATTTTCTTTGTGCTTTTTATTGTCTCTTCCTGTTCTGGAATTTTCATCACTCGTAAGTTGTCCCTCTTCATGGTGTCCGACATAACTCTTAGGCTTCCTTAAGATTTTTTCATTCTTTTTTCTGATTGTTCTTGTAGCATACTAGTATTGACAGATTTATTTTCAAGCTCAGTAATTCTGACCTCCATTGCTTCAATTCTACTCCTTTGCCCTTTCAATGTTTCGTAAATTTCTGAAATCTTAGAATTAATCTCTGGATGTCTAATTACATCTGTTTCAAAATTTGCATTTATTTTGTCTCTTTGTTCTTGCAGAGATTTCCTGAATTCTTCTAATGTGTTTTCTGTGTTCTCCCTGACTTCTTTGATCTTTCTGTCCTTCCTTTGATGTTACCTAACTATCATTCTTTAAAATTCTTTTTCAGTTAGTTCCATTACCTTTTCTTCCTTAGAAGTATTTTCTGGCTCTGCATCTTGGTCATCTGTTTAAGCCATTCCCTCGTTTCTTCATGTGAGCTAATATTGTTTGTTGTCTCCGGAGCACTGTGGGATTGTCATATTTGTATTTAAGTTATGAATATATGTTGATGTGTTCTTAGGCTCTTGTCTCCTGTAAGTGTAGTTACAGAATGGAAGTGTGTATACTGTTCTTGTTCACTGTTTGTGAACCTCAGTTTAGAGTGGGTTTGGCTGGTGCTGGCTGCTGTCTAACATTGATCAGATGGTATGGGAACTGGCACTGGCTGTTGACCATTGGGTAGAGCTGCAGAAGGGACAGTTGTGGCCAGGCTGTATGGATATGGTTGCTATTTCTTATCAGATGGGAACGAGAAATGCCTCTCCCAATACACACACAAAGAAACAAAATAAACAAGGAACCAACAATGAAAAGGTAACAAAGAGAAAAAAGAAAGGGGAATGGGAGCTATAGAACTTAAAAACAAGAGAAAATAAAAGGAATTAATAATTTAAAAAACACTTAAGAATAACTAAAATGAGGAAAGATATAGGAAAATGGAGCTATAGAAGAGGAAATAAAAGTAAGCAATTAAAAAAAAAAACAACTTAGAAAAACCAGTGAGAGGGAAAATGGAAAGAGAGTAGAGAGTAGCAAAGAAAGATCAAAAGGGGAAATGAGAAACAGAAGAAGGAAAAACGAAAGCAGAGATAGAAAGGTTAAAATTCAAAGGAATAGAAGCCAAGTCCCCCCGCAATCCAAAAAAAAAAAGCTAAAGAGGATAGAGAGAAACACTGTAAACTGATGATATATGGAGGGGATAATAATCAATTAATCAATGTAATAAAACAAGCTATATGAATGGTTGAATGTGAAGCTGATGATGTGCCCTGTAAACTTTCACTCAATGCAAAATAAAAACATTTAATTAAAAAAAAAAAAATTCAAAGGAATAGAAAGAAGAGGAGAAGGAGAAAGAATAGATAAACAAAAACAATGAAATAAAAGACAAAAAACACCCCCCCAAACAAAAATCAGTGGAGAAAACCCAAGGCGGGGTGGTGGTGGGGAGGAGGTGGTCCTGCAAAACCAAGGAGTTCATGAAGTGGCTGTGGGAGGGATGTGACTGTGGATTTCCTGCCCTAGAAAAAGTTCCTATTGGCCTTGGTATTATCTATAGTTTAGGACTCTCAATCAGGAAGTAGTTCATGGAGGCCCTTAATGGAGCTAGTTTCAATGTCTGTTAGGACCACAAGACAGCTGGCGACAGGATTATTGGCTAAATGCTAATCTGGTGGCTCTGCAGGTTCCATAGTTACTAAGATGAGCACACCTAAATCCAGACACCAAGACAGAGCACCAAAGTGGAATAGCTGGCCCTCGCCTCACCCTAGCATGGTTTCCACGTGGCTCCAAACTCCAGGAGAACAGGGTCTGTGCTGTGGCTAGATGAGGGTAGGAGCTGGCCACACCTAAGGTCACCAGGGTTGTTGTTGCTGTTCTTAAGTGCCTTCTGGTTCAAATGGACCCTGCAGTCCTGTGTAGGATCCTGCAGCACCATAGCAGGACTCCAAGGTCATTGTGTGTTTTCCACTCTTAATTAGATAATGACAAAGAAGGGGTAAAACTGCAGCCTGTCAAAGGCTGAAAACTTATGTTATTGGTGTTGTTAGGTGCCATCGAGTCGGTACTGACTCTTAGCGACCCTATGTACAATGGAACAAAACACTGCCCAGTCCTGGGCAAGCCTCACAATTGTTACCATGCTTGAGCCCATTGATGCGGACACTTTACAAATCCATCTCATTGGGAGTCTTCCTCTTCTTCGCTGACCCTCTGCCCTACCAAACACGATATCCTTCTCCATTGAATGGTCCCTCCTGACAATATGTTCCAAATATTAAACACGAAGTTTGGCCATCCTGGCCTCCAAGGAGCACTCTGGCTGCACTTCTTCCAACACAGATCTGTTGATTCTTTTGGCAGCCCATGGTATTTTCAATATTCTCCTCTAACACCATTAACTCAAAAGCATCAATTCTTCTATGGTCTTCCTTATTCACTGTCTAGCTTTCACATGCATACCAGGTTACTGAAAATATTATGGCTTGTGTCAGGCGCACCTTAGTTCTCAAAACATCTTTGCTCTTCAACGCTTGAAAAAAGTCTTGTGCAGCAGATTTGCCTAATGCAATGTGTCATTTGATTTCTTGACTGCTTCTCTCCATGAATGTTGCTAGCTGATCCAAGAAGAATGAAGTCCTTGACAACTTCAATCTTTTCTCCGTTGATAAGAATGTTGTTTATTGGTCCAGTGGTAAGGATTTTTGTTTTATTTACATTGAGATGTAATTCATAGCAAAGGCTGTGCTCTTTGATCTTCAT